CCCCAAAAAAAAAGAAAAAGAGAAATTTCGTTGGAAACTGGAGAGAGTACTCTTGCAGTAATCAACATGCCGCACACCCGCTCTATTACCGTCTTCGCCGGCTCCGGCGACAGCCAGGCAGTGCGCGGGTGTGGCAAAAAGATTTTACATGTTAAAGCGTTGGCTACGGGGCCACAGAAGGTTGCAAAACAATCGAGTCGCGCACTCTACTTATGTAGCTATCTAGATTCCATACATACCCAGATGCATGCATACAGTCATAGAATCTACATCTACGTCTTGACATTTGCTTCCGCTCCCCGGGTAAGAAGGCTGATTCCCTCCGCGTCCCACTACGGGGACTATTGCACAGCTACGTCCAGCCTCCGCACCCGCTCAGACTGTTGGATTCCCGGGAATCCTGCCGCTATCCCCCACTATCCCCGCTTGCGGGTGGCACCGTGATCTCGACCGTCAGCATTTTAGGAAGCTCCAGAGAGCCACGCACAGTCTGGATCCGCTCGTCAAGATACTTCCCCGTAGATTTCGACTTTGGCTATTGCTTGTTGATCTCTATGTTCTGTTCGAGAAGGGGGGGGCATTGCCACTGAATCGTATTGATCACATCGCATAAGCTTTATGTATTCAGCTTCGATTACCTACGTGTGGGAGGCTTTGAGTACATGACTGCTTCTCCCCCAATCACTCGCAAAATACTTATGAACAAAGCCTCTGGAAAGGCTTCATGTTAGTATGCAATTGAAAAAAAAAAATCAAAGCAACCCGAAAGCAAGTGCTTCATCTACGGCCACTACTTGAAGTAGTCAAAATGCCCGCAGCGCCGATGCCTCAGTGCAACCCTTCAGTTATTGCAACACTCAATATCATATCGCCACGCCGCCGTTTCCAGCAAATCCTGTTCTTGTGCAGTGGTGCCATCCAGAGTCCTTTATTGACCGAAACCTTTGGTGGAATCGCCCTTATTTGTTGATACTCTGAAGGAAGTTGATGTACGCACGGTCTTCCTTGTCGATGCAGCGATTGGCCCATGAGAATGGTGAGGACTCGAGTATCCCGTCAGGATCATCCTCCTTGCGTTTGCCAGCTGGAATGTCCAAGAAAGTTGCTTGGCGAAGTTCGCTGAATTGAGTGGCAATCCTTTTTCTCTGCTTTTGTTCATCCTTCCACGCGCTGAAAAGCTCGTTCAAGGCTCTCTGGAACACCTTTTTATCTTGGCTATTCATCGCCTTGCTAGCCCGTTCGACAAACTTCTGCGCGCCCACTTGTGGCGCAAATTCCATGAGCCTTTTGGCAATCTGCTTGAAGCTCAACCATGTCGAGAGCGGTATGGGATTCTCGTTCACCGGAGCGTTGCTTCCCAGAATAACCCTCATCTCGTTCTTGTACTCAAGAATTTCTTTCCATGCGTCGATCGTGTCGTCTTCTATCTCTGCGCGTTCCACGAGCTCTTCGATGAATGTGCCAAGGCCTCCAATCTTCAACTCTTTGACGTTTCGAAGGGCCTTGAACGGCTTCATCATCAACCGGGAATCCAGGAGTTCTGGCAGGTCATCTTCATCAACTTCGTCGTCCCGATCCCAGCGCATCGTGATGGCGAGTTGGTCGAAGCCATCAGACCCACTCAGCTGCTCTGCCAGCCAACGGACATTATCCAAGGCCTGGCTCTTGTCGTCAAGACCAAACGGGCGTAAAGACATCTTGGGGTCGAAGTACCGCCATTCACAGCAGTCACAGGCATATGATAAGTCGCTCAACTTCGACTCGATAACGATGTGAAGCTTTCTGATCCTCTGGAAGACACCAGCCGTGCCATCTCGATATGTAAGGTGGGTACGGCAGAACATCTGAGGGTACCCCGTCATGAGGATGGTGTCCGCGTCAACAAAGAGATGTGGCACTGCTCCGCCTGTGCCTCCCGAGCCGACGAATGGCTTGTAAAGCATATCGACTGCTTCATTGAAGACGGTGCGACAGGACAGCATGACGGCCAGGTATCCACAGGGCTCTTCGCGTTGTTGTGGTACACTTAGCTCGCAGTCATCCTTCTCAGAGTTATGGCAGGCGCATCGATCCCAATGGTCGCCTTTGTCAGGCAAGAGGTAAGCGAATATGTAGAGGCGGATCTCTGTAGGCAGGCCAAGCAGAGTTGCTTCAGATCTTGACCGATGCGTTGACGTGCGCTCGTGCAGATGCGGAGACGGGCGGTGCTCAATGGCGAGCTGGGTGGCCTCGGCCATAGCTGAGAGTCTTATGTTAATCAAGGTCGCAGTCTGAACCAAGTTGTTGAATGGTGGTCTGTACCTTTCGGTGAGTTGGCCATGGAGCGAACCGTGGCACAGCGCGCGGGCGGCGGGGTCAGGTCGGGCCAAAGGCTCGAAGGATGGACGATGCGGTGCCCACATGCAAGAGCGGAGGAAATGGTTGAAGAGGAAGGGTGCAAAAGCCTCTAGAGGTTGCTGCTGGATTTTTGCCTGCAGGGGTGATTGCCTACTCAGCGGAGGAAGGGGCGCGTCTGTTCGCGCGTCAAACTTTGGAAGCCTCGCCAGGCACAATGGCGACTTCTTGATTTGGGCCCTCACTGGAAGCGCGAACTCTCGCCTTTTCCTGCTTTGATTCAAACTTCACAAACGGCGTGCCCGGGAGAACTGCGAACATGGATTGCGGGCATGCACTGCACAATCGCAAAGCTGCCACGCAATGAAGCAGATACAAACAAAGAACTGCATATTTGTTTGCACGGTCTTGGGGGCAACTTTGGTTTTGTGATGCAATAGTCATCTGCACAGATCGGACTTGCCATCCAGTGCCCCCGCCGGCCTCTGCGTGCCGTTTCACTCGCTGCGGCTTCTGATTTAGAACCATACCTGAAAGCGCGCACAAAGAACACTTTTACACAAGCGCGTATGTAACCGAAGGTAGGCATTGTTTCGTTAATATGTTAACCTCTCGATAGTGATGGCCCTACGTGAGCACAGGGGGTACTTTACCTCACATTCGCTAATAATGGTAGGACTACCTCTGACTAGTAGCACCAAAGCCGTATTGGGCGAGGGTATCGAAACCTGAAGATCTTCGCAAGCCTCGTTCATTCTTTTTATCTTACAGCCCTTCGTCCTCCAACACTCTCACAACCAAATCCTTGACTCTCTCCGTCCCGCCATCCTCACCATTGATCGCACTCACAGGCAGCACCTCTACCTTCTTGTTCCACGCATTCTTCTTTCCACTAGGATGCTCCACAGCGCCTTCTCTCACGCCCATCAAATATGTCTGCAGCTTTGCAAAATTCTCCTTGGTACCCTCCAAATCAGCTTTGGTTGCCACCACGAACCACGGTTTGGCAGACATGGGCGGTAACGCTAGCGGCTCAAGGTCTAGCGCCGCCGATGGCTCGAACATGTCCGGCCTGGGGAGCTTTGGCGCAGGCTTCTCAGTCATCGATCGCTGCGTCTCGGCGTTGAGCTCGTGACCGCGCAGCGTCTCGTACTCACCGACCTCGCGCCAGAGGCTCTTCAGCGTGGCGACGGGGTCTTCGGCAGTAAGGTCGACCACAAACGCCAGGATGGCTGCACGCTCGACATGCCGCAGGAAACCCAAGCCCAAACCCTTATCCAGGTGTGCGTCCTCGATCAAGCCGGGGATATCAGCGATGGTGAAATTGTCGCGCGATGCGACGCCCCGGCGCTGGCCGAGGCGCGGTCGGCCCTTGTGGTTATCCAACACGACAGTGCCAATGTTAGGTTGAAGGGTGGTGAAAGCCCAATTGCCGATGCGTGCGCGGCTGTTGCTTAGCGCGCGGATGAGGGTACTCTTGCCAGCATTGGGCAGGCCGACCAAGCCCACGTCTGCGAGAAGCTTGAGCTCCAGCTGCACTGCCAGCTTCATGGGGTCCATTCCTCTTGTAGCGAAGTGTGGCCGTAGCATGGTCTTGCTCACGAAATGCGGGTTTCCCAGGCCACCGACCGCACCGGGAACAAGGAGCAGAGGGCGATCCATCGGCTTGTCCAAGTCCAGCCTAATGGGGCCTTGGGGGGCGGAGTGCGCGATGGCAGAGCGCTGCGGTCCGGGCAACTTGGGCATGTCTGTACGCGTCAAAAGCGAGGGAGAAGCGCCAGGGTATAACAGCCACTTCTCCGGGCGAACCTGCTGTGGCACCTCTTCCCCAGCAGCCTTCTGCGCTCGCCTCAGCGCTCGCTCCTGTCGTATCCGTTCCTGCTCTTCTTCGACGGGGTCGTGCCGCCAAATCTCTCGCACAACGGTGCCAACCGGTACGGTCAAGAGGACGTCCTCGCCCCTCTCTCCACCTTTCAGCTTGCCCTGGCCATTTCTACCTCGGCCGGCGCGTACCTCGCGACGGCGCGCCAGCTTGTGGAGAGATGTCTCGCCGCGGACGGCCTGAATGAATATATTGCCACCTGTTCCACCGTCGCCGCCGTTCGCGGGCCCTTCTTCAATGTATTTCTCTCTGAGGAAGGAAATGCAGCCGTGGCCGCCGGGACCGGCGTGGAGCATCAAAGTCGCTTTGTCGGCAAACGGAGTGATCGAGTAGGAGTCGGGCGGAGGATTGAGCGAACGCTCTTCAGTTTCGGGCTGAGACTCGGTGTTGGTATCATTGTCGAGGCTGCTGTAGCATCGCGGACGGTGCGTCCGACCCAGGCGGGATAAGACTGGACGCGCTGAGTGAAGGAAGGCTGTGGGGACGGATGGGTAGAGGAACGGCATCAATGTCGTTGCGACATGCTGTATCCGGGCTGGCGGCATGCAGCTGACGGAGCGGAAGCTCGAACAGGGATCCTAGGGGGAGGAGGCGGGCTTGGATGTGAGCAGCGAGAGGCAGCATCGGCGGCAGCCAAAAAGTCGCCGCTCGGGCCAGGACCGGGCGGTGTTTCGTTGCCTCAGGCATCCAGTCGCGGTCTCGGCGGGCCCGCGCCTCTCCCCGCCATCAACCACCAACTGGCTGACGCGTGGTCGCATGCTGAGCCTCGCTTTCGCACATTCCTCCTGCACGGCTGACATGGCTGACCCACGCCCCGGCTTGTGGATTGAAACACATCACTACTGACCACGCAGCTACTAACCCTCTGAGCCGAACCGCCCATCTCACCCGCTCACCCATCACACAACCACAGCGCCCGTCAAGCTGAACATGGCGCCCGGGCTCGCGAGCCTCGTGCGCTCACCCCTGCTGTGCCTGGTTGCCTTTGCACTCACCCGTCTGTCGAACAGCCATCTTACCGGCACTTTTGCCCACGTGCCGGCCTCTCGCATCGTTCATTCGGCTCTGTCGTGGGGGTTTGGGCTCTGCGCTGTTCTCAGCTGCATATCTCTGCTGAACCAGAAGCTGTCCGATTTGGCGCATAACAAATGGCTGTGGGACCCCTGGTCGGATCCTTTCATGCGATTCCAGGCAGAGGCAGAGAAGTGGAACTGGCCGGAGGAAATTGCAGTCATTACCGGGGGTTCAGATGGCATTGGATCCTACGTTGCTGAGGGTCTCGCGTCGCATGGCGTCAAGGTCGCGATTCTGGATGTCCAGCCACCAGCTGAGCGGATCAGGGACTGTGAGTGGTGTCTGAGCCTATTCTGGACTCTGTCATTTAATTGTTGCAGTGCCCAACATTCATTACTACGAATGCGATGTCAGCAGTCAGCCCTTGGTGTGGGATGCTGCCGAAAAGATCCGCATGGACATTGGAAAGCCCTCCATCCTCATCAACAACGCCGGCATTGGAAGACCGTACACCATCCTGGACCTTCCTCCCGGTCGGCCTCGGGAGGTCTACAACGTCAACGTCTTGAGCCACTTCAACACGCTTCAAGAGTTCCTGCCCGATATGCTCGAGCAGAAGAAGGGCTACATCATGTCCGTTGCCAGCCTTGCTTCTTTCTGGTCGGGAGCCGCCATGTCCGCCTATGCCTGCTCGAAGGCTGCGGTGTTGGCATTGCATGAAACTCTCAATCAAGAGCTGAAACACCGCTACCACTGTCCACAGATCAAGACAGCCATCGTTCATCCCCACTTCACCCGTACAAAGTTGATCGCAGACTTTGAGGGACATCTGAGGAAGCGGAAGAGGCCAGTGTCCGTGCTTGAGCCCCAGGACGTTGCGGCGCCCATGGTCAAGCTAATATTGAGTGGAAAAGGTGGTCAGGTCTTCATTCCGGAAAGCACTGGCCTCCTCATTCCATTGATTCGCGGCCTGCCTACCTGGGTACAAGAGCTCTTGAAAGATGCTGTTGCCAGGAACGAGGCCAGCGCAAATATGGCCAAGTGAGGTTCAGCCTGCAAAGAGAAGAGACGTTTGGGCAATGACCGCTCCAGACCATCCATCTCGGTTCTACAAAGAGGTGGGGGTATCGGCCCCAGGCGCTTCGGTCTGCATCCATTGAATCACTGTTGCTTCCAAATAGGGATAGTCGAGGCTCTAAATATCTAGCTAAGTGGGTACGCACGTCAGGGTATGAGGTTGGTTCCCCCGGGATTGCAACAGATCGGGGGAGTTGAGGCCTTGTCCGGACGGTATGATGGTTGTTCCATCAGCCATTTATCACAATATTGACGCCTCGACTGCCTCTCAGTATCTGCTCCTGCCGTTGCAACACTGAATGACCGGACTTCGAGGCTGCCCGCAATGATGACCAAGTAGCCGCCAGGCCAAGAAGTGTCACGACTCTGCAACACCAGGCACCAAAGACAAGACCGAAAGCAGGTGCATGACCCCTTGCACGTGGCTGGGCGAATCTGTCGTGCGACCAGCCATTCCGACTGTGGCCGCTCCAATCGCACGAATGGCGGGCACTGCTGCAGCGGGGCCTGGGGCCTTTTTAGCTGAGGGCCAGCCTTTGTGTGCATTAGGCAAACTCGTCGAATCTATTCTTGGCCCCGGCCTTAGCCGAGGCGATCCAAGCGGCCGGTGTGCCGCAGCAGGTGCGATAATGGGGGCGGTGGCCTAGCGACGTCAGCTCCGCCCCGCCCAAATAAGGTACACAACCAACAGTGGCATTGACTACGGTGCAGTTTGTCCATTGTATTGTTGGTATATGTTGCACACGCAGTCGCAATGCCTCAATTTGAAGGGTTCGCTCTTTTGTCTCCTCTCGAGCCCCCATAGATCTTCCCGCCCTTCTCCGTTTTTTCCTACCTTTTTGCCGTGTTGTACAGTCCGGACAACACAGAGATGAGATGTGGACCAGGTTCTTCTTGCGCGTGCTCTCGGCATCGTTGATTCTGAGACCTCTTACGGAAGCTTCACCGTGGCGGAGTGAGTAAACCAGTCTTCAGGTCAAGATGTTGCAGATCGCTGATGAGATCCAGGAGCGCCCTTCTCGAACTCGTCGATTGGACATGGGGAGACTGCATCGGAAAGTCGAGGTTCCGTGATCTCGTTAACAAGTGAAGCGGGCTTCTATACGAGCGCGCTCCCGTCGACACGAGTCTCGACGAGCCGGTGGCTTTCGCCGAGCGATGCACACACGAATTCCCTGATCGGAGTGGGCCATGCAGCGCAGAACGTGACAGCGACCTGCTCTGGCCGTGGCGACACCGAACCATGTCCGCATCCCGCAACAAGTCAGCCAATGGCGGCCGCTTCGCCACCAGCCCCCCAGTCTTACTCAGCCACGCCGTCATCTTCGACGAATGGGAGCCGCGAGATATTAACAGAAACGGCCGCGCAAGTGGACGGCGCTGCTGCGGCTTCTGTGTCTCCTGCGTTAAGCATAATACCTGCAGATCCCGCTATAACTCCTGGCCCAGGAGCAAGCCTGAATTTTTCGGTGGAAACACTGCAATATTCGCACCCGATACAGCCCCCACCCAGCTCATCCGCCCGGATTTCAGCCCCGGGCCTGTCTTCTGCCGCCCCTGGCGGCCCTAATCTCAACGGCTCGCTGCCTGCTTTTGCGTTTCCATCCGTAAACTTCTCCCTCCCCATCACGTTGTCGTCACGTCCAACGGCTTTCCCACTCGCTTCGTCTGCAGATCCATCGCCACCGACGCCGCCAGGGTCCCAGTCTACTGCCAGCACCGCCACACCCTCGCCCGTCGCCCCCGCGAACGTAGTAAAGAGCGCTGCTGTGGCCACGGGCACGGATGGATCCGAACCTTCTTCTCGCCTGACGACTCCAGGCCCCCTCAATCTATCTTCTCCACATGCATCAGCACTGTCCACCAGCACCCCGGGCTATGGGGTATCGACGCCCTTAGCCACATTCTCCACACCTTTCAGATTTTCCAATATCACGCTCGCTGCCGCAACGGCTTTCCTAATTTCGCCAAGCATGGCTCTTTCGTTTCATACCATTTCGGCGGCCTCGCCGTCTGTTGCTTCTGCCTTACCGCCATCAGGCGCCTTTCTTACAGATTCATTGTTCCCTTCCGTCCCGACTCTTTCGCACTCAATGCCCGATAATACCATCTCGCCCACCTCGTCAAGCTCCCCTACCTTTTCTCCAGACAGCGGTAGCATATTCGTGTGCGGCGATCGCGCATTCAGCCCTTCGGAATACACCTGCTACGACGGCTCGACACTCTGCCCTGTGCAGGGTGGTGGTCGTCTTGAGTCCTGTGGGGGTTCCTGTTACGATCCCGGGCTCTACGGTTGCGTGGACAACGGACTTCAGCCCATTGTCGACGGAAAGATTCTCGGTAGCATAACCCCATCCAACACGATACCGGTGCCGGTCACGCAATGGCCAAGTAGTGTGGCGACGCCGCTGCTGTCTGCAGTATCAAGCAGCAGCCGGATTTCGTCACACGCCTCGTCGAGGACATCTTCAACTCTCTCCACCTCTACCAGATCATCTACCACTTCCTCCAGCACATCGACCAGGTCCTCGTCATCATCATCCTCTTCTGCTTCATCGACCACAACATCAACGACCTCGGCATCCGCATCATCGTCCTCGACCGCCGCCCCCAACAGCGACGACGATGACAACGGCAATGGTCTCTCAACGAACCAAATCGCAGCCATCGCCTCAACATCAGTCGCCGTCGTCGTCTTCCTCGTGGCTGGCTTCTTCCTCTTCCGCCGGCGCAAGACGCAAGCCGCGCAGCGCGCATCTCAGCAAGTTTACCCGGAGCTAGCCTACCTCTACGACCCGCCCGTGCCAGGCTCGTCCGGCAACGGCTCGCGCGGAGCGCTGACCGGCCCTGGCGGCGGCGGCGGGCACAATCCCGTCGGACCGTTCGTCGTGGGCGGCGGGCCAGGGGCCGGCAGCAGCGACGGTGTCGGTGTTGGTGCGACGGCGGGTACGCTAGGCGCAACGCTACGCGGCGGCGGGGGTAGTAGCGGCGACGACGACGACGACGACGGATACCGACGTTCCAGTTCTCCCGAAGGCCGCTCGACCGGCAGTCGCAGCAGCAGCGTCGGCTCCGTCGTGTCCTACCTTGGGCCGGCGGGGATGCCGCCCGTCATGGGCGCGGCCGCTGCTACTGCTGCTGCTCATGCCATGAATGGATCGAGTTCAGGCTCGTCGAATGCGGCCCTGCTGGCTGCTTCCAGACGGGATGCGGCGGGGAACAACAGTTCTCTTGCGCCATCGCCATCGAGAGCCGACGGCGAGAGAGGCGCGAACAGGGAGGAGGTGCGGCCGTTTCTGGCTGCGGCTGGGGCGGTAGCAGCAGGCGGGTCGTCGGGAGCGTCTTCGAGGGATGTAAGCGCGGAAAGAGAAGGTACACATCAGCGAGACGAAGGCGCGCTGTGGAAGGGGAACGAAGCGGACCGAGAGATGGGAGCGCAGCTGCACGAGCAGCAGATTGAGGAAGCCCGGCAGAGGCGAGAGCGGGCACGCGCCTTCCTCATGCAGGCCAAGGAGCGACAGGAGCTGCTCAACCGCGGGCCTGATACTCCATCAACCACCACTATTGCTGGCGCCCTTGCTTCCAGGGGCCAGCAGCGTCGACCGTCGAACCCGAAGCTCCAGCGCACCCAGTCCGGAAAGCAACAGCAGTGGTGGCAGCAGTTCGCCGAACCCGCTTCTCCTCCCGCGACATCTCCCACTCGAGCCGGCGCAAACACCCACAGCCCCATCTACCCGCCCATCTCCCCGACCTACCCGCGCTCCGGCCCCATCCTGACCTCCCAGCACATCGAGGCCAACCGCCTCGAGCAGGCCCAGCACGCCCGCGCCACCGCCGCCGCCGCAGCGACATCCGCAGCCCCCACCGTCACCGCCTACCCAGCCTTCCACCGCCCGAGGCCGCCCAACTACCCGCCGCCGCTGCAGACCGCGCCCACGCCCTACACCTACACCAACGGCAACGCCGCCGCCATGGCCGCCGCCGCAGCAGCAGCAGCAGCCAACGCTCACGGCCGCCCCTTCTTCCACCAGAACACGTCGTACATGCCGCCCCACCGCGCCTCCTCCACCCTCGACAGCTACCCGTCCCTCCCTCCCCCCATCATCGTCAACAGCCCCGCCTCTCCCCCGCCGCAACCCCCGCAACCCCGTCGCGGCAGCAGCGGCAGCATCCACACCGCCATCGGCGGCGTCTACACGACGATCCCGGAAGAAGTAGCAGCAGAACAACACCCGTCCTCGCTGCCGCTGCAGCAACATCGCCCGCAACAGCAACAGCAACGCCAACGCAAGCAGAGCCTGACGTCCATCATGCGCCAGATGAACGCGCTGGACGAGGAGGAGGATGACGACGATAACTACTCGGAAGACGCCGGCGAGGGCGAGGGCTTCTTGCGGGCGCCGCGGCGCGTCTTGAGCGTGCGCAACGGCGCGGTGACGCCGAGCACGGATGGGGAGGACGAGGGGGGGGATCACCATCAGAGGGATGGTGGGGCGAGGAGGCTTGGGGGGAAGGAGGTCAGGTGGGCGGGTGAGGATGGTGGTGGTGATGCCGGTGGTGGTGCGGGGAGGCGATTGTTGTGATGGGATGTGATGTGATGTGAGTTGATATACTTCTTGGATTGTTTTTATCATTTTTATACTTTTTTTTCTTTTTTTTTGTGGGGGAAGGGATGGCATATGCTGAAGCATTTTGGGGTGGCGTACACACTTTCTGTTGGGCTTTTCCATGATGAGGTTTTGGGATAGGATCTCTGGGCATTTTGATGGAGTTTTTTCTGTCCTTCTGGCTTTGTGTTTTGGAAAGCGGGTAATGGGTTTGAGAACGGAAAAAGATACCAGGAATGGTGGGAAGGTAAGGATGTATATGAGGATCGACTCGATGAATGTATGTATACACACGCAATCAACGCTAATGCTCGTACTCTCGGTTGGGAAACGTGGCTGTGACCTTCGGTGAAAATTAGGTAGTAAACACCATAACGGGCGAGAAAAGTGAAATAGTATCGATTCTGGGCATTGAAGTCTGCAAGAACCCGCATCCACATGATAAGCGTTTTCCGAGTCCAAAGTTCCGAAACAAAATGAGATCACAATCATGAGATGTCCAGCAGGGCGGTCAGTGGCCAGCGGTCTTGCCATGCGATGTCTCGTCTTCCTCGAACTCGGGCTTTCCGAAGTCCGCCTCACCCCCGGACAGCTGTTGGCGAGCCTCGCTTTCTCTGTGCACGAATCTCCGTCTTCCCTCGTGATGCCTGTTACAATGTTCCAGACATCTGGCCAACACCGGTCCTAGTGGTATCCCCTCCTGGTGTACCCAATGGAGAAGGCCAGTATTTATCTAGATATGAAAAGAGGAAGGAGCACTACGTGTGTGGCGATAGTTAACTAAGAGTGTCATATTAACTAAGGCTCTTCAATTATACCAACAAATATAATATGTATCAGCTCATAATTTCTTATATCGATCAAATAAAATGCTTACCAACGATCTGAATTGTTACTAACGAATGCTAGTGTCCATTCTCCGTCATATTTTCACCGTTTGTATAATCGCATATTCCAATCACACAACCCGAAGGGAGTGAAGAGTGTCGTAAGCCTGAATGTCTGGAAGTAGTTGGACTCTGTTCCTTGACGGTCTGTTTGCTCTTGGGGTTGTAGGACAGGTACCGTAGTGGCAAGGCATGACATGACATGTCAACAGCTGATTGATGCTCATCACGGTTTACATCACTTGCTCTTTCGTCAGCTTCCCATCAACTTGCTGGCCTTCAGCATTTGGTGCTACACCCGAGTTCCATTAGATCCGCGAACTACAACCATATGTGCATACCATCATTTTTACTGTCTTTCAACCTCGCTCCAGACCTGCAGGCAAACGAAAGTTCTTTAGAGCTGCTTTCGTAGAGGACCAGAAGGCTCAAAAGTCAACCCTGGATGTGTATCCGCGCCAGAAGGTGATATGGAGCCCAAAATCAGAAGAAGAACATCTGTTATATAGACACGAGCAACTCGTACACCCATGCCGAGCGAGAGCACGCGCAATGCAATGCAGCGCCCTGGCTTTCTTATCAGCAGATCTTGATCGCGAGCTTTGAGGCTGAATCATGTATTCGTAGACGTGGCTTGCATGATCAGTGATGGAGCAAAAAGTGTCTTACGCGGACAGGAAGTCTTTGTTTTCCGGGGAGCAACCAACGACTATCTTCTCAAAGCATCCGAAGACTTGAGAGATAATCCGACAATCTTGTCCCGCTATTGTGTGTACAATATCAGGGTCGGATGCCAATGCCGTGAAAGCGAATTTTCACCAGAGATCGAAGCGAGCGCGCATCGTCGAAGCGAGAAGTCAAGCGAAAAGTTTAATTCCAACCACATCTCCCGTAACACGAAAACTCGGATCGAAGCGTTCGAGGTTCACAACCTTTCCCCTCCCGGTCCTTGTCGCCTCGATTTTCGTTCTCTCTTTTTGACCTTCACCCTTTCCATAAAGGAAAGAGAAAAAAGGCGGGCAGAACGACGTGCGATTGCAAAAGAAACACTGGACAACAACAACCGCACAATACCACCACGCACTTCAGACCATCCAAACATGATACTCACCGAGCATGATAAAATCAATGACACAAAAACGGGCGTGAATCATCTCATCTACGTGATACGGATAACAAGGTAAGAGGAGAAGGAGGATTTACATGATCGAGGGATGGAAGGCTTTCTTTCGTTGATGGGGGTTTATGATTTGGGGGGGAATATAGCGTGAGTGTGGCATACATGTAGTAATAAATAAAAATGAGAGGATGAGGGTAACCAAGGTGGTAACGGAGGTAAGAGGTGATGTACGAGGCTGACCGGATGGTGAGATCCTTGTGAGGAAAATGGTGTAGGGTAAAAAAACAAACCCAAAGTCTAATCTGACAAATGCCGCCCTTTCCTAGTCTTTCTCTTCTTTCCCGTTCGAGTACAGCATTTTCCTCCGATTGCTTGGGCTGTGATGATGATGAAGATGAGGATGATGGTCAAGAGAAAAAGACGCCGGTAAATATGCAAACACAAGGACTCGGGAACCAGACCGGCAAGCAGCAAGTCGGAGGTAGAGAACAAGGGTTTGAGGTTTGAGGCTGATATGAGAACGAGTAACGATCAACCTGATATCCAGCTCAGAGCGTAGAGCACACACATGAGCATGAACAACCCCAGCCCGCCACCAACCAACGCTAACTTCATCCTCCGGCCCCTGACCACCTCCTGCCTCTGTCGATCCAGCTGCAGCAAGAACAGCCTCCGGCTGCCCGCCGAGCTTGAGCGCCTGTGCCCGTAAGGAAATGCCACGCTTGACCGTCTACTGCCTCCATCACCGCCTCCACCACCGCCAACGTCATCGTGAAAAGAAGAACGAGGAGAAGAAAAAAAGAGATCCCGTACGGCTACACCGTCCTCTACAATCGTCATTTCCTCGAACCCACTCGATTCCCTGTTGTGTCTTGATCTTGTAGAGTCGTCACCTTCGTCATCAGCATCATCCGTAATGCCCAGGCTTAGGTCCTTCCAGTCGTCCAAATAGCAATCGTCAAACTTTGGCGTTTTAGTGCCGCCGGGCGAAGAAGGCACGGAAGCAGTCAGCGGCGTGTACGTGCCCCTGCTCTTCCGGTCCTCGTAGTCGTCCCACCAGGAAAGTCGTTTACGCCCACCGCCCGAACCGCCAGTCATCGCCACCGGTGAGAACGGCGTCGAGCATGAGCTAGTCGACACCGACCCTCGGGACGATGCTTTGACCATGGCAGCCGAATTAGGTGCGCTGGTTGAAGAACCACGAGCTCCGCTTCGGCTGCTCAGGACTCGCAATTGAAGCGACGGGGCCGGCCTCTGCGGCAGCGCCGCCGCCGCGCAGAGGCTTGGCGATGCGGGAGCCAAAAGGCAAGCCGGCGCCCCCGGAGAGAGGGCTGCCCAATCCTCGGGTCGAGCCAACTTTCGCCGCCTCGAGCCGCTCCTTGACGGCCGTGAGCTGAGCTTCGAACCTATTGCGCGGGCGCCCCGAGCCGGGGCTATAGCGTTAGTCAAGTGGGTCTTCGTCTACATAGTTACCGCTATAATTTGAGTGCAACGAGAGACGGGGGTTGTGAAGGGGAGAGGACGGTGACGAAGTAGGTGGGGGATTAAAGGGAAACAACGGCGGCGGCAAGGTTTGGGACGCGAAATGAGTGGAAGATAAGGGCGGGGGAGTAGGAGATGAGATGGGGTTGTTTGCGGTGCGAGAGATATATGTCTTGTAGGAAATAGATTGATCGGCGTGGAAAAAAAGTGGGGAATGTAGGGGAGAGTGCAAATGAGGAAGAAAACTCGGGGTCGAAACGTGCCTGTGGTTCGCCGCCGTGAGCTTCTCCTGAGAGTCCTGCAGCAGGTTCTCGAGGCTTTGGATGCGCTCGTTGCGGGCAATCAGCTTGCGCTCCGCAATCGCCACCTCCTTCTTGAGGCTGCTGTTCTGCTCCACCAGCTGGCGCTGCACGACCGTCAGCTGCTCGAGGTTGCGCTCCAGGAACGCCATCTTCTTCTGCTGCGCCCGGTTGTTGGACGTCCGCAGCACGTTGTTGTACTGCTCGCGCGTCTCGTCGAGCGAGATTTCGAGTTCGACGACCTACCCGCAAATTTACCTATTAGCTATAAAGCATTGACTGTTATGCAACTGAGATGATATACCCGTTCACACCGGTTCTGCAGATCCCGCATGAGGCTCTTCTTCATGGCGTCAAACTCAGCAATCTGCTGCTGGACCGTCTTGCCGTTGACGGGCGCGACGCCATTGGCGCCGTTCACCGCGGCACCACTCTTGAGACGCTGCTCAAGATCTTCCACCTTGGACTTGAGATCCTTAACTTCCTCCACCTTGCGTGCGAGGTCCGACTTAAGCTCGTTGATGAGCTCGGCCTCGCCGTCTTGCCTCGAAGCATATGCGTCCGCAAGGCGCTGCTTAACCTCGGCAACATCCGCCTCGCTAAGGTTGCGCTCGAGCAGGGACTCGTACTCCTGCTGGACATTGTTCAGGCGCTTCTCGAGAGCCTCACGGCGCTTCATGTGCTCCTCGTCCAGCTCGCTTCGCTCCGAGACGGAAAGCTCGGCTTGGCGGACGATGCCCTGCGTCTCGAGCAGCTTCTGCTTGAGGTCGCGAAGGGAATCGGGCGCGACCACCTCGCCATTGCCGCTGATCTCGAGAAGAGCGTCGACCTGCTCAACGGCCTTGCGGATGTTTCGCTCGTTGTCCGAGAAAATCTCTCCGCCGAGGTCGAAGCCAGCCATCATCTGGGCCATGCGCTCGGCCTTCTTCTTCTCCTTCTCGTCCAGGATGGCGCTGGTTTCCTTGGCACTCATCTTGGCATCGAGAAGCTGCTGCTTGAGATCGTCAAGCTCGGCAGTGAGCTCTGCGTTGGCTTCCTTCAGACCGTCCATGGTGATCTGGGCCTCCTTGCCCTCAAAGTTGATCTTCTCGACCTGCATCTTCAGCTCGTTGATCTCAGTGTTGAGCTTCTCGTTGTCCTTGCTGGTCTTGGTGTCATGGTCCTTGAGGAAGGACAGCTCTTCCTTCGCCTCTGCGAGGCTCTTCTCGGCCTTGACGAGATGAGACTCCTTCTCCGCAAGCTGGTCCTGCAGCTCGTTCTCGCGACGCAGGAACTCCTCCTTCTCGTCCTTTTCGAGGACGGTAGGCGTGCCAGCACGCTCGAAATCCAATCGAGAGTCCGGTCTCGATGGCGTCTCAGACCTCCTGTTGGCCACCCGATCCACAGCCGAGGGCGTCTCTGAACGCTCCTTGGGCGGAGGTGCCTTCTTGGGGGGCTGGATCTCGATTGCAGGCACCCACTTCTCCTCAGGCACAGGCTGGCCTGCACGCCATTGGTGGACTTCGTCGTGCAGTGAGGTGATGTAAGTCTCGAAGGTGGTGACCTGAGACTGGGCCTTCTTGAGTAGGGCCTTGAGCTCCGCCGGCGAGAGTTCCGCATTGACCTTGGCTTTGTTCTTGATGGACTTCGCACGCATACCGAAGCGCAGCGTGCTGAGGGTTTCAGAATCGTTGTAGCTGGAGGGTGAGCAGTTGATGACCAGGGTTGTCCGCGAGTTACCACCAAGAGATTCTTGCAGGATACGGGTGAGCTTCGAGTCACGGTAGGGAACGTGGCTGGATTTGCCGTCGGTGAGGGCGTTGATGACCATGCCCAGAGCACTCAAACTCTTGTTGATCTTCTTGGCCTCCTCGAGCGTCTGACCGCTGGCACCCGTCTTGCCGACCTTCTCGGAACCCGCCAAATCGACCAAGAACAGCTGACCGCTCTTCGCAGAGCCGGTTTCGACGTTCTTCTGGGTGACGGTGATGACGAAGATGGAGTGGGAACGCGAGGACTCGGCGTTCATGTTCGTTGAAGAGACAGCTCTGGCGTTTCCACCTCTTCTCATGACCTCGTAGACTTCTTGCACGCTGGACACATAGATCTCCAGCAAGCCCTTGACGTAGACGCCCCTGTTCTTCTCCTCGTGCACCGGCAGGTTGTCGTTCTGCGGGGCGAGAAGATCGCGAATCCTTTCCATGTAGATCTCCATGTAGCTGACCCTGACGGTATACTCCATGTTCCCCGGGCTGGTCAGGATGCTCGCGAAAATCTGCTCGACGATACGAGGTATTATACCCTTGTTGTCGTCGTCCTCGATGTCCGAACCCATCATGGTGAAGGACTTGCCGGCACCGGTCTGACCGTAGGCGAAGACGGTTCCGTTGTAGCCATTGAGAATGTCATCAACGGTGGGCCTGATGGAGTAGTCGAAGATTTCATGCTGCCTCGAGGTCATGCCAAAGACGCGGTCGAACGTGAAGTCGCCCGCGGCCTCGTTGGACTGTTGTTGCGGCAACGCGTCAGCGCCTGATGAAGGCTGAGCCGGGGGGTGAGCGATTGCTTCGCGGCGTACCTTGATGCTACATGTGTCTTCGGACTGGAAGGAGACGATGGGCTCTCCTCCGCTGGCGATTTCGATCTTGTTCTGCGGGCGAAACCGCGCAACGACTGTCGGCAGGCATTGTCAGTGGGTGGGGGGACAGAAGCAGTGCGGGCTTCGCGGGGTGAGCAGAACGCACCCTTGATCGAGTTGGAGCTGGAGGGCGGGGGTGGTTAGCACGCGTCTCCCCTGGACGGATGGCATCAGGAGGAGAACTTACGCCATGGTTGCGGTGACGGGGCAGCTGAGGCCCGGCGGCCGTTGTGGTTATGTGTCTTCGAGACTCGGGGGGCGTGGCGGTGGTTGTTCACTCGCGGGCGCTCGGATGTTTTCCGCGGTGTCCAAGGGATGGGGGAGGTGATGCGTTGGCGGTGTAGTGATTTCGCCGGGCCCTGGAAGTCAGGCTCGGGCAGGGGACGCGGCTGTCTCTCGCAGGCAAACCGCAGGATGGAGAGGGGAGGGCGCGCGGAGTGTTCAGGAGAGGCGTCGGCGCGCCAGCCAGGGAGGGGAAAAGACTGCTGACTGTTCTGGCGGTCTGCGGCTTTGAAATTGTTGTTGACAGTTGATCTCCACCCCGGCGGTGCTGGGCTTCCAAGACCCGCACCGCGCGCCAGCTTGACCGGCAGGCCGACCGCGCTAAAACGTGCCTGCAGCGTCCCGCCAACCCGCTCCCACAGCAAAGCCGCACCCGCCTCCGCGAACGCGTGCGTGCTGCGTCGCACGAAGCACAAGGCTTTCATCAGCCGCGCATCTTGCGTCTCGCATCTCGCATCTCGCAGCGCGCATCTGGCGCCTCCCGCAGCCTGTCCGCCTGTCCGCCTCGCTGCCCTGCCTACACGCCCGGGCAGCCAGCCGAGCCGCTCCTCACCCGGCCGACGAGTCGCGTGGCCGCTGCTACCTCGGCCGCTTCGACTTCTTAGCTGAGGCCCCCGAACCTTTCCACGCCACGCCGCCCGACACGCTGCCACATGCCCTGCGCGCCCATCACCGCCTTGTGACGATCCGATCAAAAGATACCTAAGCCATGCTATTGCAGTCCGGGACGTCGCTCCGTACGCCATCCCGCAAGCCATGCTGAAACTACCCATGCCTGCCCGAAGACTCCCTCCGTATCTGCCTGAGACCCTGAAACTGAAAAAGCCCTGTAAATTGCCGTTGCCACTGAACAAACCGCCGTCATAACTCGCTCCTCCCGTGTCGCGCTGCCCTCGGCCCTAGTCCTCCCAGCTCTTCTCCACCGTCTCCCTCACGCGCTTGATGTACTCGCGCTTGTTGTCCTTGTACAGGTTGCTCGCCTCCACGTTGGCGGGGGAGCTGGTGTTCGGGTCGTTGAGCAGACTGCCGCGCCATCTGTCAGCCCTGTATCCCAACCATCCCACAGCCATCTCTCACATACCTCTGAATGCTGGTCAGGATGGCCGCCACGTCGTACGTCGGGCTCCACCTATTCTGCAAGATGTCCAAGCAGAGCTCGCCCGTGCCGTATACATTGGGGTGGAACATCTCCGAGATGAACTTGACACCCGGCGGCTTGTTGGGGTACGCCTCCTCGAAGTGCATCACCAGGCGGAACGTGCCGTCCTCGAAAGGCGTATCGGCCGGGCCAATAATCACAGCGTTCCTGCAACCAAAGACTCGCATGAGCGTTCGTTTATCGCGCAATCGGGGACTGTACGGTGGGGGTCCGAGTGGCATGTGGCCGTGAAGGCAAAGTGGCCGGAGCCGCTGGAGCAGCGGCGGGGCGAAAGGACGCGCGAGAGTGAGCGTACCAGGTCATGACATTGTCGGCGATGGGAGAGGCGGAGACGCCGGCGGGAGGGTCGGTCTGCATCCGCTACGCGCCGTCAAAGTCAGCATCGATGCCGCAAGCAGTGGATCCCGGCGTCAAGCACCAAGGGCAAGAGCTCCATCTTGTGGGCTTTCGGGGCGTCGCTGAGGCGCTAGGCCACGAGACGTGCGTGTACGTACCTTGAAGTCGCGCATGAGACGTCTGCGCGCGGCGGTCGACATGATTGCGTAGGTGGTTGACACTCGAAGCGTTGGATAGATTGCGAGGCGTCGATCGAGAGGGAAGCTGGCGTTCAAGGGGCTTGACTGCGGCGGCGCGAGAGAACAAGATGCAGGAAACGGTTCAAGTCGTGCTACCCTCGCAGCGCAGAGAGGGCAGCACCAGCATCCCCCGGCGTCACCAGCCCGCGCTAATGCAACGCTCTGGCCATGTCACGTGTAACATTGGGGCGACATGTATAACTTTGAACCAGGTCCGTTACTTTGGTGGCCGCGCCCGTCCGCAGCCTTTGCTTGCTTCTTAGCAGCAGCCGTCTTCTCCGCGTCGGAGCAGACGGTTGACCGTCCGAACAGGGTAGAGAGCAAGGTCGGCAGCGGAAGGCGGTCGCATCGCGATCTGAAACAAATCCGCTGTATGTTCTGCCCTTTCGGGAACTGCTGCCATTCCGTTGTCAGGTTCTCGGGGAATATCCCCAGTATCATCAGATCTTGTGTCATCAGAGCTGGCCCGAAACGGAGTGGACGTGCAACATGGAGTACCTACTGTACAACGACTGACCGAGGGGCTTTACAAGAAGGGGTGCATGCTTCTACATACGGGCCAACAAACAGCCAAACCGAGCAATCATGGTAGCACTAATTGATTGGAGATGTCCAGAATCCGTAAAACGACAGCTCGCTCCTCGCCCTTGATGCCAACTGGTATCTTGGTACATGATCCGAGAACGCCAGCTTTTGTCCCTCCCTTTGTCCATTTTTATTCGTACATCGACGTCTATTCCCGAATCTGCACAGATACCCAGAAATGGCAGTTTCAGCACGAACAGTCCCAAACGCCAGAACCTTACAATATCTTCATCTTGTTGTCGTAGAACAGCTAAAGACTCAGACGGTAGCCGGATTAGTATCGCTTGCCCGTTTCACCACGACCCTCCCACCTGTTGCTTCTGGGCTGGTACTCCTTCGATCGGTCACTACTGTACCTGCCTGGTCCAGAAGAGCGGTCGCCACCAAACCTGCCTGGTCCAGAAGAGCGGTCGCCACCGAACCTGCCTGGTCCAGAAGAGCGGTCGCCACCGAACCTGCTTGGTCCAGAAGAGCGGTCGCCACCGAACCTGCTTGGTCCAGACGAGCGGTCGCTATCGAACCTGCTTGGTCCAGACGCGCGGTCGTCGCCAAAGTTGCCGACACCAACAGCGCGAGGGGGCGGCCTACCGTTACCACCCCAGCGAGAAACACGAGGGCCAGCAAGATTAAATTCGCCATGATCAGGACGACTGGATCTGCTGCTCTGGCCGCGGGGACCACCTGAGGACTTGCCGCGGGGGCCGCCAAGTCCTATTCCCCTGCTGGTACTCCCGGGGATATGGGGTTCCTTCTCAAGGCCCCAAAGCTTCTTTGCCATGAATTTCATGGACTCGACAAGGCGCCGCTTGTCTCTTGTGTGCCCTTGGGACGCGAGTATGCGCGGGAAAGCGTCCTCGAGCTCTGCCTCGTCCATTGCCGTGAAGCTATCCTGCATGGTTTTGATGATCTGTTGTGCATGCTCGGGCACTTCTTCCAACGCGTCGAGGTCGGCCTCGGCAGTTGCCAGTGAAGTGTCCTTCTTGAGCGGAAGGTTGCCAAGTTTGTACCGAACCTCATTCCGGTGCACCTCGGGGATGATTAGCCATCCTTCGCCCTCTTTTCCGGCACGACCGGTACGACCGATACGATGGACATAATCAGCAGGATCCCTAGGAATGCCCAGCTGAATGACGTGCGTGACATTGGGAAAGTCCATGCCGCGAGCAGTAACGTCAGTTGAGAACAGAACAGCCTTATCCGCGGCTCTAAACGTGTCTGCTTGTCTCTGCCTTGCTCCTTGGGTGAGCTCGGAGTGAATGTAGAGGAGTTGACCCTCCCACAAAGCATGTGCGTTCTTTTGGACACGACGGATGCGGTTGAAAATACTGAAGGCAATCTGAGTCTCCTTCAGTGAGTTGAAGTAAATGATAGCCTTGAACGGGCGTTTCTCGCCATTCTTTGCGAGATTTGCTTCCCGTTGGCAGATCTCGAGAAGCGCCGGGAGTTGAGTCTCAAAGCCAGTGGTAATGACGTATTTTTGGGGGATGCGCGCGTGAGTTGGCTCCTCATCATCGCGAACAGTCTTGACGAAGTGAAATCCAGGCCTCAAGGTTTGGCGAACAAGTCTGACAACAGCCTGAGGAACAGTGGCCGAAAACATGAGTGTCTGACGGTCCCTTACGGACGCGTCGGGCAGCTTCTCCTGGATGTCGTGGATCTCCTGCGAGAAACCAGTCTCCAACAAGCGATCGGCTTCGTCGTAGATGAAGTAGTCCAGGTTGTCAACGGGAATGGGACTGTAGGCATCACCAAGGATGTCGTTAAGCCGTCCGGGAGTGGCAACGAGGACATGGCATCCTTCGGTCATGATCCGTCGCATGCCCTCACGCTTGCCCGTTCCGCCGACGGCTGTCTGTATCTTTACAGACGTACGCGCCGTCAACCTACGGGCTTCCACAGCAATCTGCTCGGCCAATTCTCTGGTAGGAGAGACTATGATGGCGCGAATATCGGGGCGCAGGACAGGTGCGCGGCGGCCAAACTGTCTCGGTGCGCGCTCGGCGAGTGCTGGAGTCTTGGAAAGAATGTTTTGGAGCATGGGAAGGAGGAAGCCGAGCGTCTTTCCAGTTCCGGTTTTCGCCTGTGCAATGCTACTACCGTCAGTACATGTACTTCATGCATGTTCTACTACGCTTACATGTCGGAGCCTTGCAGGGCTTGATTGATGGTGGCGGTCTGGACGTCAGTCATGGTGACAAGACCCATATCCTTCACAATGGTGTCGATGACGTTCCTGTGGACGATGTTCCTCTCGGCCAGTTCCTCGAACCGGGTGATGGGCGAGGCAGAGTTGCTGTCGGTGGTCGCGGTGGCGACGGCCTGAGCCTCGGCCAGGCGGACGCTCGACTGGAACGCACGAACGGAAAGCAGAGGGGCAAAGTTAGAGGACACAAGGGCCCGGGGCGAGGCGATTGAGCTGTTGCGCAGAGCGAAGCGCGTCGCAGCGGCCGCGCTGAGGGCTCGAGGCAAAGATGCAGGGCATCTCCGCAGAGGTGCGAGCATGACGGCGGGATGATAAGAGGGAGGGAGGGCGGGCTGGCGTGTAAGGGACAGAAGACCCGGCGTGTGAGCAACGAACAACCTATCTGCCCAGAGGTGCTCGAGGGAAGATTGTTGCAGGTGTTGGGTGGTCGCGCAGGGCGGACTTTTTTTCAGCGAGCACCAGCGTCGCGCCGCGGCCGCTAAACCTCTCGTGGCCGCGAATCTCTCTGGCCGCCACCCGCGCGCGAGCGAACAATTCTCGGAGAGTCTGCGCAGACTCTCCGTCTTACACGCTCCCTTTTGCTCTCCTTGACCAGAACACTGCTCTGGCAACAGGCACTGGTGTAACATTGGCATTCGTAAACCGCAAACGCGTTCTGCTCAAGGCTCTACATGAATCAGGCGGCCTCACCGCCTTGGCGCAGCCCGAGAAGTAATGCCGGGCGCGCCTCGCAACAACAGCTCCACCTCTCATGCCAACTACAACTTGGAGCATTTGTCGTCGCTCCTCGTTCCCAGGAGCGTGATGCCTTCGCTCAACCCCTCGTGGATCCCGCCCGTCACGCCCCGCAGCCCCCACAGCGTCAGGTCGTTGATCGCCTGCCCCACCTTGCCGTCGTTCATCTGGAAGATGGCGTTGGTAAAGCGGAAGCTCGTCCTGCCCAGCCCGTCGACGGTGTTGATGGACGACGAGACCAATCTCTCGGATATCCGGTGCTGGCGCTCGTAGTGGTACGCGTGGCCGACGAACAGCTTGACGTACGGCAGAAGCAGATGTAAGAGGAGGAAGGCCTGGATGATGCTGGACGCGAGCAGGCGATGCAGCCACGACGGCTCTGGCGGCGGCCTATGCGGCCCGGACACGTGCTGGCTCCCGTGGTACAGGAGTTGCCCGCTGGAGACGTCGACATGGACGACCTTGACAATGTCTGGCGGCAGAGACGTCTCGATGGACATCTTCTCTGCCGTGCTCAGGTCACACGGCAGCCCCTTCAGGAGGAGCGTCAACGCTTGCATATAGAGGGTGCGCCCAAAGGGCGTCTCGCTGTCGCAACCGCTGGGAGAGGTGCAGTCCTGGAGCGCTACGCTGAGTAGGCTCAAGCCTGTGTTTGGGTGTGTGCTGTCAGCAGGCAGGCAGCGCTCCAGCGGACGGCAGACGGCAGACGCTCACCTTGACGGGCGAACTTCCAGTTCACGCTGGCCGGCATCTCGAGTGGGTGGTAGCCGGGAAGAGTGGCGGCGCTGGACGAGGACAAGGGCGGTTCATCTACCAGCGTCTCGTCCGACAACGACTGCACCGAGACGCCTGACCCGCGGCGCATGGCGGCGCTGGAGGGAGGCCTTGACGTGTAGCTCGGCGGGGGCGTTTGGGCTCCTGCTGGCACATGGTCGTTGGCACATCGCGCGTGGACGGGTGACAGCAGCGGGCGAGGCCGGAAGCCGGTGACGGTGCGGCGAAGGCTCTTGAGGCGTGGGATGCGGCTCTGAATCATGGCTGGCAGGATGGCATAGACGCTCGACGGCACGTCATCGTCCACTTGTCTGCTGTCCTGCGGGCGTGATGGCTGAGACATCTGAGGCCAAAACGCAGGCTGGGCCATGGGCGGCTCTGCCTAGCTAGTGCCGACGGGCTGCAACAATGGGGACGCGACGGCAGGAGGAGAGAAGCCCGAGCAGTCAGTCTTATCTACGGCGCATGCAGAGACCCGCGCTGAGGTTTGGGGCGCTGGCGGAGGCAGGCGAGGTTTGCATGTGACAGCGGCGCGAGGCGAAGCGTGAAGCCTGGCTGGCGCAACCGTTTGTTGAGATGGCCCCCTCGCCTGCAAATGCACGCCCGCCTGACCTGCGCTTCCGGATGCTGCTGATAGCGTGCGGCGAATGCAGGGTCCATGGGCCTTCACTGGCTCCGACGCCAATGTGCCAATGGGAGCCTCAGCCCACGCACGCTCGACGATAACGCCGTTTCGGTGCCGCGACCGCGCGACGTCATTCCGCCCCTCAACAGCAACATGCTCGCCATACACGTTCGAACACTGGCGAACGAGGCCTGCAGCCACCCCAGACCCGCGCAGCAACATGTTCTGCATCCGGCGCTTTCGTCCGGTCAGATTGCCGACCACCCCGTACCATGTCATCTACCCGAACCTTGACACGCCAGACGCCCGGACATTCAACTGCTTCGCTCTCAGCTCAGATCCTTCCGTGTTGTCTCCTGCATAATGCCTTTACGTCTCTTGTCCATAAGCGCCGCAGCCCCGCCTCCGGCTATTTGCATACCCATGTATCGATACATTTGCCCAGGCCTCAGTAGAAGGTTCCCTTCAACTGCCCATATACGAGGACTCACTAGACTCACATGTACGTCTGAGCATTGGCTTCTACCTGTCTGTTTGGCTTTTAAATGGGCTGTTCTTGTGGTTTCCAGATCAGGAATGACCATGACCTCCACATGGAGAGCAGAAAAAGAAAGGGACTCAGCCAGCTCTGGGTAAGCCGTACCGGCTTTCTACAACCTAATAAAATCGCCGATTGCGCTCCACATCAAAGTCTGCCAAGTGCCGATCCTGTAACAAGGCTGAGGCAAACTCGCTGCGCCCTGTGTGACACCATGTAGCTGCATCGGATCAGCCTAAGGCGATGCGATGCTCCCTCCCGGTTCACTTGATAAGCATGTATCCAGCTTCGTGTAGAGGCGCCGCATTCATCAGCATCGCCCCTTCACATGCCAATGCCTGGAGGTGTCCAACAACGAAGAATACGAGTGGCTTGTTTCTTGATAGGCGTTTGCAGTGCACCGCCGCTTCTTCTCTACGCTGGTTGCCTTACATATTCACATGCGGAGCAAGTCGCTCACGAGCAACCACCATGCCGCTTAGTCCCTCTAGGCAAAACAGGCCACGTTCACATGCGGATGGTGCCGTTATCACAGGCCTTGCGAGGTGGCGTGTAGGAGCGGACAAGTGCCAGCATCTGCAAGATGCCCATGGCACGATAACCTGAACAGGGTTGAACCGCGGTCTGACCCGTTCTCAATCCTCTCTCCTCTACGCGCCGCCGTATTCGCAGCATGTGAAAGAAGAGCGCGAGTATTACTTCACCGTTTCCCAGCATTGTTCTGGCCAGTCCGTCCCTTGCACTGGCATCCGCTCAAGGCGTGCTATCTACAAAAGTTGACAAAAAGATTCATACATCTTTTCAAGGAGCGGTTAAGCATCCTTTGGTAAGAGAAAAGAGTCACAATCTTCTTGACCCTATTCCCACATTCCACAACAGAGTGCGGGGCACAAACATAACGTCGCAGGAACTTGGAAATAAATAATGAATATTCAAGCCAGTAACAGTGTGGAGATACTTTTGACAAAAAGAACGGAACGTTCATCTGCTTCTCAATCGGTAGTAGTGTGGGATTTCTTATAGATAACAACCAAGACTTCACAATTGCCGTTCATTTTGCCGCTGACAAGCAAGCAATACATTCCTTCCCTGCGAGACGTTCACGTGAAGATGTAGTCACCAGACGCTGCATGGGGAATAAACGATAGAGTGCAAAGTACATACAATATTCAACATCAGCCGGCTACCTACGCCGCAATGCCCTGTCAATTCCAAGAAGCACCAGCAGAGCATCTGGTCAGAAGCTGTCTCACAAATCCAGTGATGCTGTTATGCTGCTTTGCCAAAGTTATACTCCTACACGTAAAATCAAAGAACCCTTGCAGCCGAGTTGGGATGTTCTAAGCCTGATGCATCCAAATCCTTATGTTCTGTACGGAACCCAATTACAAAAGTCCATGAACGCCTCCAATGCCCATTTCCGTCATGGGTATCACACCGCCCTACTCCAGTTCGTAGTAGATGATCTAGGAACCGGTGTTCTCGTATGTCCACCCGCCGTCTCTCATCAACTTTTCGCGACCCTCCATGTCCTTCTTTCTCTCTTCCTCGGTCAGCTTGTCTTTAGCCCAGTAAGCACTACTCGTTCTCTCCCTGAACCTCTTGTGCCTGTCCTTGTTCTTGAAAATCTCTTCCATCTGCAGAGGCGCAATGGGTCCAAAAACCTCCATTGGGTCGACCAGCTGTTGCTGGGTGAGTAGCTCGCGCAGGGCAGGGGAGTTGACCCACGATGGAGCCTGGAAGTTCGCCGCCTCCGAGTCCGAATCATCATCTTCCGAATCGGTGGCGATTTCCGGTAGTTCGGGTGTAGGGAAGTGCGGTGAAGCAAGACGAACGGTTGTGGTACGCGCAGGTGTCTTGAACACGCCTGAGGAGGGGCCGGCAGCGGCTGACGGACCCGATGCGTCAGCGAATGGAATCTTCGCTTTTGAGATGGTGGCCATGTCGTTGGGATGGCCACCATGTTTGTTGTGTTGCAGTTGGTGCTGCGTCTTGACGGTTTGCTTGAACATGGATTGCGCGTGGGACGAAGGACCAGCAGTAGCTGCCGGCTTGTAACCATGGGCAAATTTGTTCGGCTCCTTGGCCTTGTCGATGACCGACATGAGACGTTCGCGCTCCGGGTAAAACTTGCGCACATTGGACTGCCGGATCGGCGGTGCCATCATGGACCGTCGGGCATCAGTAGGCTCCTCCTCTTCGTCATCTGAGAGAGTCTTCCGACGCTTGGCGTTCAATTGCTGGAAAGTGGGGGCATTCCGCTGCCCCTGTGGGCGTGACGCAGGCTCCTCATCGGTGTGGAAACGCTTCGGTGGTTTGGCCGGGTTGGCAGGAGGAATGTTCAGGACAGTGTTAACTCGAGAGATTGGTCGCGCGCCACCCAGGTCGCCACGAGGGTGGCCATGGATAGTTGCTGCCTTTTCCTTTGAAAGAGCTTGTGCCTAAGGGAGGTTAGAGATGTCAAGACAAACAAAATGGCAGCGACTTACCAAATCCTTCGTCTGCTTGCTAGTCGCCTGGGCCCGTAGCTGTTCCTGCTTCTTGGCCTCAGCAGCCAACGCCTGCCTGCTGGCTGCTCTCTTGGCTTCTTGCGCTCGCTGTTGCTCCGCGGCTTTCTTTTGCGCCTCGGCTCTACGATCCTCGTCGGCCTTTCGGCGTTCTTCTTCGGCCTTGGCGGCTTTCTCCGCTCGCTGCTGCTCAATTGCTCGTTTCTTCTCAGCCTTACGCTGAGCGTCTCGTTCCTCTCTTTCTCTGTTCTTCGCTGCCAAAGCAAGAGACGTTGGCTTGGTAACTGGCGCACCAGATGGACCGGTGGTCTTAGCGAAAGAGCTGTTGGCAGAATCGACGGGGTTCCTCGCAGCGGGCGTTTTCGCGACACCAGGAAGAGTGCCGCGAAGAGATTTCGACAAGTCCGCATTCGTCGGATGCGACCTCTGGGACCCAAGGCCGACCTTGATGTGCCTCGGCTTGGAAAGACTCTCTTTGCTTGCAGTGGGCTTGAGTAATCGGCTCTTTGGCTCCCTCATCTTGGGGGGGCCGCGCTGTGGCCTAGAAGGGCCAGGTTTGGGCGCATCGTCAGCAGAAGTGTAGTCGTCATCTCTTGACGACACAGTCTCAGCACGAGAGGCAGCACCGACGCGCGTAGTCGGGACACCTTTGGCCGATTTCTCCTGCCTCACAGCCATAGGCTCTTCCTCCTCCTCCTCATCCTCCTCGTCTTCCTCGTCTTCCTCTCTGGCGTTCTGCAAGGCTTCTTCCCGTTCCATTTCTGCCTCCATTTCCCTCTCTCTACGACTCCGCTCGAGAGAGGCACGCGTTGTCCGGACGGGAGTGCCGGTGGCAGTTGCGGGACGTCTTGCGGGGCTTGCCGGGTTGATAGGCTTATCGAAAATGGATGAGAGATCCGGTCTTGGAGAGGTCGAGACCTGCTCCCTGCCATGTCTCTCTCGTAGCCCCGCTGAAGAGGGGGATAGAGCTTCCAGCTTAGCCTGAGCACTTACACCAGCACTGCTAGCGAAGATACTCTTCGCGGACTTCAGAACGGAGAAGAACTTGGTTTTCGAGGCACTCAGCGGTTCATCGTCCATCTTAGATGGCGACCCTGCTGGAGTACTGGACTCCACATCCTGTAATTGCTCAAGATCACCGATAGAGATTGTCTTCTTGAGTGAAGATTCGGGTGTCTTTGCTGCACTCTTCGCAGGCGATTCAAAATTTGGAACAGAGGCAGACTTTAGGTGGCCGAGGCCACGTCTAGCCGGGGATTGCATTTCCGGACGATGCTCTTCCATCTCCACATCAAGGCCTCCGATCGAAGATTTTCCGCTGACATTTTCCATGATGTCAACAGAGCCACTCTTCATGTGAGCCGGCAGAGCTGGAGCTGAAGGAAGCGGCTTAGTAGTGACCGGGGCAATCCAATCATCGTCGTCGTCCTCCGCATCCTGAATATTAGGCACTGGGCTGGGTGCTTTTGGTGCTTCTGCAGGTTCTTCAGGCTCCGAAAGCCCTTCGTGTGCTGCAGTCGGTTCGTCGCTCTCTGTGGGGAGTAGTGGATAGTTCGGCTCCTGAGATACAGATCCAGGGATTGATTTTGACGTCCTCGGTTCTTGAGACTTGGCTAGCATATTGATGCGTTCATGGAGGCGCTGTGTAGACGTCTTTCCGTGGGTTCCCGCATTTTCATCTTCACCATCAGAGCTGCCTACCTCTTGGTCATCATCATCGGCCCTGGGAATGGCCTGGCCTCCACCAAGACTTTTACCGCCGGTGAACCTGCCAAAGTGGCTGCTACGAGCCTTGTACTGATCGAGATGGCTGGTTCGCGAGACTCTGCTGCCCATACTCTTCTTGCCAGCAAGAGGCTCGCGTGCGGGAAGAGAAGAGAAAGTAAGGCTAATCTTGCGCAAAGGCGGCTTTGCTGGACTGGAGCCGTCGGAGGGAGTTCTAGCGCCATCATCGTCCTCCTGCTCCTGCTCCTGCTCCTTCTCGTCTTGCTGGTCCTGTGTATTATCGGCGCCGTCGAGAAGGGAGTTGAGAGCGGATGCAGTCTGATTACCGACACTGAATTGCGAGGGCCTGGAGGGAGCGTTTTCCCGGGTAATTTGCGACCCATCGGGCTGGGTGGGGACCAGATCCATTTCGTCTTCGTGGATGGTAATCTGGTTGTCCGCAGCACTGCCACCTTCATCTTCATGGATTTCGATGTGTGATGAGGTTTGGTGCTCAAAGTCCTCCTTTGCCGAAAGGAAGGATGCAGACTTCCTGAGGGGCTCCTGTGGCCTAGGAGACGGGGATTGTATCGGCTTCACCGAACTCTCTTTCCGAGGCGACAACCTGGCGACCGACTCGTCCTCATCGACCTCCATCTCATCTTCAGTCATTCCATGATAACCTGAATCTCCCTGGGGGATGGCGTTGGACGTTTGATCAGCGTCTTCGATGGATTGTATCGGGGCGGCCATGTCAGCGTCTTCGGGGTCCTCGGCAATCTGGATCTGTTCGATCTGCTTGTAGAAGCTGGTTTCGCGCGTCGGACTGGGGGCATTTGCAGGATTGGGGGCGAAAATATCCGTAAGCGGCTGTGACGGGCGGTTAGCAGTGGCAGGGTCGTAGACGACGGACGGGCACTTACGGCGCGTGTTTCCAAGGGATTGCGCTTGCGAGCTGTGCGCGGCGTCTTCCCGCGCAGCTTACCCGGCGTCTTGAACGTATCGGTAATGTTGCTGATAGAGCAGTCAGCGCGACAGCAAACGGATGATGAGCGTCGGGGGACATACAGCTCGGGACGGCCAAAGATTTCGGCCATGTGCTCGTTCAGCCATTCCATCTCGTTGCGCACGGAAAACGAGAACTCTTCGACCTCCTGCTCGGCGAATTGAGCAGCTTGGTGGCGCTCGGCGAGGATCCATGGCGCAGAGCCGACGGGGGCCTTATTGCGCGAGGCAGCCATTGCGCCGGTGGTGGATGTAGATGCGGGCGGAGAGCGAGTCGCTGGGACGGCGACACGAGACGCGTCTGCTGCAAGTGCGTCGAGGGGGGGTGGAGCGTGGGGCGCAGCTAGATGTACATGTCTGGGTAACTAGTGCGGGGGAGGGTCGATTGCGGCGGTTGCTGGGGACGGGCGATGGTTGGTGGTGTCGTGTGGTCGGTGTTGACGGTGCGCCCGCGATCAAAACAAAGCCGAAAGCTGAAACCGCGCCGGCGAGACGGCCTCACGTGATGCTCCCTGTCGTCATCGCCTCTTCCGGCCTTGGCTGAGCCCCAGCAAACACCAAAACCTCAAAGCATCATTTTAACCGTACCCTCGACTCGTCGACTCTCGGAGCCCCCGGACCCCCCGCCAGTCTCAGCCGTCCTCTCAACCACCACCGCACACCACCACCGCCACCACCCTCCGCCCAGTTCTCTTCATCCTGCCCGCCCAGTTCCTCTTCTCCCGCGTGTTCCTTCGCGTCCGCTCTCCGGGTTCCTCCTGCAGCTGCATGTAGCAGTCCGTCAACCCAGCCGGTGAAGCCTGTAGGGCTGGCTCCGGTATGGGCAGATTCGTGCTCGTAGGCCCTCGCAGCGGCGCAGTCGCGGAGAGGCTGTGCGATGATTGCCGAGCCGCTTCACGCGGCAACGGCGGGAGCGGCTTGTTGAGCGAGGCCAATGTTAGTTTGTGTGAGGGCACTGAGGAAACGGTGGGCGGGGGTGATGGGAGCGAGCGCAAAGTCAACCGCCGCGATGGGAGTGGCGACAGTGTCTGCTCGTGTGCTGTCACAACCACTCGGGCTGGCGGAGGGGCTGAGACCCGCGTCTTGGGCATTCGCTGCCGTGGGCGGTGTTCCTCGTCCACGGTAGCTTGAACCTGTCGGTACTCGCTCTGGTAGCGGCGCAGCGTGCGCGCGGCGACGGTTGGGTCGGCGAGCCGGAGCATCTCAGAGAACGGCGAAGTATGCTGTCGAAGTGAATGACAGGTAGGGCTTTCTAAATGGCGTTTTTCAAACCCAGGTATGTATGGCGAACAACGCATCACATGTGGCCATGGCTTCCTCCGTATCACCTGGTCCGATGCAGGTCTGACCGCACCGAGTTACTCTGGTTGATATCGGCCTGCTGACCTTGGATCGTGGCTGGCGGTCCCTTTGGACATCTGACCAGACTGCCATATTGAAATCTTCCAATGCCCGCCCTCATGGTTCGAGAAAGTGACAGCCCGTCACTCCGCAAGCGGCCACACGGCTCTTCGTCTACAAGGATTGTTGATGCTTTGAATCTCCCCTCACACCCCGGCCAGAGATTTACAGGAGAGAAATTCTCACATTCTGTCTTCAGTATCGTCAGCACCGCTTGCACCTCGGCAGTGTCGCATATGAAACTCGGAATTGGGTCGGCCATCCAATCTGCCACGCTGGAACTGGGCAAGCTGCAGTGGAAACATCCGCTAAGGTTGGACAGCGATCGGGCAACACACACCTGCATTTACACGGGGCGGGTAAACCATATTTGGCGGATGGTTGAAGAGCAAAGTGCACGTATGAGGTGTTTGACCAATACAACATTTCTACGTCTTCGCAAAGTCACCCCTACTTCTACGTGGTCAAAATCCTTGCAGATGGCATGATATTGCTGGATATTATGTTATAATGGCGTGTAGCTTGACTGGGCCTGCGCTTTACATTCAGATCACTCCTTCTCCTACCTTGGTATTTCCTTTGTTTCTTCCAAGCCCTTTGACGAGGTGATGTTGACTTTCAAAGACAAGGGTTCCATGCGCCGTTTGAGGGTACAAGTACAGATACATGATATATATAGCCAGTCTCCCTTCTCTATCATGTACCAGCAAAAGCAACTCCGATACAGAAGTAACTGGATCAACACCACTTGGACTGCCTGCTACAAGCCACGCTAGTAGCTCTACGTTCACAAGTGAAGATGGTCCGGAACATTTCCAAGTCGGAGCAGGTCCATCAGCCTCGCCGCGGCCACCAACAGGATTTCCGTGCTTCGAGCCAGAACGAGTATTTCCCCTACATGTCCGGGTATTACGTTCCTCAGTATGGCTATTCCTATTACTACTGCCCGCAGCACCGGCATTTTGCAACCGAAGGTAATGACCACCGTCCGAGGGTGCACACAGTCCAAAACGATGGATGCAGCGGAAAGGGACATTACGGATCTCACTCCATCACCCCTCCTTCGAGTCCCGCCGCCACCACTCCGCAAGGAAAGAGTCGCCACTCGCACTTGACCGAGGATGAGCAACAAGAATACAGTAGCCTGACCGACAAGCTGACGTGCCTGGCTAATCGTATCTACTTACGCGAGGAAGTCGTTCTTCCTTGCCTTAAGAGTGAGGCCTCTAAGCTCGGCGACATGCTCGATATGGGCAGCAACTCGGAGAAGAACGCACTTGTAGTGGCAATTCTTTGCCTCGGGGGCGCTGTTGAAGTTATGGAGGACGAGCTGGACTTCGACATTGAGCAGCTTCATGACCTTACCAATCCTAGTGAAGCTAGGGAGGGGCGCAGCCACGGGGCCGAGAAGTATTCAGTTCTCGAGATGCTTCAGGAGGAACTTTTTCCCGCATTTGATTACCAGACCTATGCGACTCACAAGACTGGTAAATCCTCTAAGAAGGCACCCAAGATTGATCCTCGGCCCAAATCGAAGACCCCCAAGACTCGCAACACTCACTCTCACAAGGAAATTTAAGCGGCTGCCGGTGACATCTTCGCGACTAAAGTCTTCATCGGCGGCGGTGGGAGTTTGGTTTCAGAATGAACATGCATTTGATAGAGGATTTGACTGTTTTGAAGACTCAGTGGCAAGTTCCAAGGATTCCGGATTGCTATCCACCTTTCATTAGTTTTAAAATGCAAATCATTGGCCTCAAAAAGTTTACTAAGTGTGCCGTTTAGCTCAATATTTGCTAAGACAACTTCCGTGGTCCAACGCTCGTATTCTGAAAACTCCTTTCCAATATTTTCTGAATTGGCGGCGGCGGCAGCAGCATTTGCGCGTCTAACGGTAACCATAAGCACTCTTCTCTCTAAAAAAAAAAAAAATGGTCCCCCCATCTGCCACATATTACTAGTTTCCATAGGTAGTTTTTGTAACGGACACCTCGAGTCGGGGTTCATATTGGGCTTGTAGGCAGACAAAGCGCATGTCCAGAGGCTACTTGTAGCAACGTGTGACGTTGTCGATCACGAATTTGATGGGGTAGCACCATATGGTAACATTCTTTCCATTTCCCGAGATCTCATCTGATTGTTCTTGTCGAGCTTTTTGCCGACATGCATCTTCAGCTCAAACCCTCGAGCTGTCTACGCGCTGCGGAGTCAAAACTGTGCCATCACTTTCCTAGCTGGGGGATCTATCGGGCCGTTTGGTCCTGCAAATAAGAGGACCTCCAAGACGATATCATGCACGGCGTGCAGAAGTGATGCGCCGAAGAAAATGTCGTGGGGCAGAAGCAGCAGCAGCATCAGCCGGCGCCCCACGCTCGACTCAGCGCTCAGTCACATGCACACGGCTCTACGGCACTGGGGACCTGCCTATCGCACCCAACGCGTCATTTCCCAAGACATTGCAGCTCTATCGTAGTATATCCTGCTGGCGCCCGTCCGCAAGAAGCCCTGGACTGCGCTCCAGCCACTTGCCGCGTCGGAACAGCAGTACAAGCCATTTCACACCCTCACACCGCCGCACTCGATCATATCAACACCACGCAGCACACAGCCTATACCCTGCAAGACCATCCCCAAACGCGCAACATTGCCAGTGGGGGAAAAAGGCAGCAGCAACAACGCCGTCGACGCCAACAATCATGTGCTGCGAGGAACACCACATCTGCACGCACTGCAACCAAATCATCACCAGCACCACCGACCACTGCTTCGTCTGGCGCGCCGCCTACCCGCGGAACCCCGGCACGGAGCTCGGCACCACGTCCAGCGCCAGCACCTGCCCGGACGGGGAAGAGATCGTCGAGGAGTTCTACCACGGCGACGACGGCTTCTACTGTCCCAATTGCTCCACCACCGCCACCGCCTCCTCCTCCTACTCCTCCTCCTCTTCTCCTAATTCTTGTTCCTCGTCCTTCTCACCGTCGTCGTCGTTCTCGTCGTCCTCGAAGTCGTCGGCGTCCGCCGCCGCCGCTCGGAATGATGACATCTACCAGACCATAATGGACCACCGGCCGCGACCTCCTCCGATCGACCCTCTGAGCGGGGAGGAGGCCGTTGGCGTCACCGCTGCCGCCGCCGTCGACGACGCTGCGAACAACGATTCCGATTCCCCAACGAGCGACATTTCGGCGTCGACGAGGGCCACGACGTCTGCCAATGCGATGATGACGCAGCAGAAAAGCACGGGCGGCGGCGGCGGCGTCTGCGGCGGCGGGGGCTGGCGGCTGCGGGTCAGGAAGATGGTGGGCGGGACGACGCGGTTGGTTGGCGGGCGCGAGTAAGTCAAGCGGCGTGAGGACGACGATACTTGCCTACCCTGCTTCAATAAGAGCGGAGGAGTACAGCCGACACCGGCTGATAAGCGAGCTGGGATCGAGTCGACGGTGGACGAAAGCGGGCGTCGATGATGGGGACGGCGGTGGCGCAGCAGTCAAGAGCGGCGGGTCCGGCCTCGCTGATTTGATGGAGAAACGAAGAGAAGGAAAAAATGGGAAGAGATTTGGATGAATCAGGAAGGTTGTGGCTTGTCATGGTTGGAATTGGCAAACGAAGGCGAAAATACGAATGATGCGAAACACGCGAGCACAGGCCTGCTCTGTCCGCGCTGTCGGGGAGCGGAGCCATACGAATGACTGCCTTTGGCTATTTCTTCTTGGTAGTCCTCTATATATTGCTTTTGGGTTTGTGCGATGACGGTCAGTGAAGAGTTGTACCGCAACAAAGGGAGTTACGGTCCTTACTTTGACACAAATGCGTACTGAAACTCTAAGAAATCTGAATGAATCAGTGCGTCGACCCTCGTCGCTGCGTGGTCATTTGGCCGTTGCGGATATTTGGGGCATGCGAATCGCCTATGCTGGGCTTTGGAAGGCTGTGCGATGTTTGTTCTCGATAAACATCGGCGCTGAGACAATGACCTTTGACCGATGAGCAGTGCAAGAAGTCTAGTCAAAGGCCAATGACCATTGTGCGCCTGCACGTAGCAAGTTACTACCGCCGCTTTCTTGAGTAGGAAAAGCAATATGGAAGGGAAAGACTTCGCCGCAGCCCATGACAAAAGTGCGGATCCTCGGGTGCAACAGAAGATGGCGATCTTGCAGCCAGCGGCAAGGGCGAGAGCCCTGCATACAGTAATGTGCGCCACGAGCACTGGATATTGCACTTTCAGTGAGGTCATTGATGCCTGCAGGGACGCCATGTGCGGCGGCCGGATCGACCCAGAGCATCGATACGACGCCGAAACGTCGGCAATGCTGAGAGACAGCATCTGCCCCGAGTGCTCGGCCACCACGTATCCACAGAAGTGTCGCGAGGGCAGTGGGCCGGGGGCGGATGTGGCTGAGCCGGGCGGTGTTCTGGAAACCCGCTCCGGTGTCGATCTCCCATAGCGGCCGCACCCCCATTGCACTGATCCATGCCGAAGATGCGGTGGGTTTGGGCATGCATCGCTACCCCTGCTGCTACTGTGTACGGCCTTGGTCCTCTTGCGAGATGAAGTTCCCCTCGCTCTTTTGCCTTCACCGGTGACGTGTGAAACTGAGTGGCGTGAAGGTCCGGCTGCGAGCATGCCCGCTGCCACCTGCTCAGTGCTGCCCGACCCCCCCGAGACATGGTCTGAAGGTTTGCCTGCCATGCACACGCCACAACTATGGGCACTGTTTGTTTCAGAGCGTGAAGAAGCCACGTGCAAAGGCCGGCGTCTGAGACACCAGCACCTAAGCCTTCCACGGAACCGCTCCCGCATCCCCGGGAGCCGCCCCTCCTGCACCGCAGTGGGGATGGGTTCCAGAAAAGTCTTCATCCAAGGCCCGTGCCTCGGCGCGAGGGTTGTCCTGCAGCCGTGGCCTTGCATGCTCGTTGCAGCAGGCCGCGATCGTGCTACCGGCCGACCCGGATCCAGTTTGATCACCCCCACCCTTTTCAGTCATGCAACTTGTGTGGCACGTTATTGCTTTTTCTGCTGTGCGTGATGTGGCCATTGCGATGGTGGTGTTGCCGCCCAAGAATGATCCCGATGTGGATTCCGTCCAGGCCTATCATGGCATCGCAATACTCTCCGGTCAGCAACCAGAAACTTGTCTGATCAGCCAGTGCCCCGTGGCCCAAATTGCCGCGCCACCTTGCTTCGCCCCTGCATCCGAGTGCGAGATCATATCGAGATCTCACCTTTCCGTGGCGCGCCAATTTTCCGCACGGAAGCACTTCTTCATACTCGACACGCGGCTCTTGTCATTGGCCCAAGGCTTGCCGGACATGATGCCTTTTGCTTTCTTTTTCCACGAAGCCTATTCCGGGAACAACTCCTGCTTGCATTTCGCTGTCATCAACCCTTCACCGCCTGTACGCAGTAGCTCTTGCCAACTCATCAAACCGTGTTTTCCGCTTCAGGCCGAGACACGAATAGTAAACTTTGTCAATAATGCCGTGCGACATGGCCTGGAATGTTGAGCAGGCTGATTATCATCCCACCCATCCAAATGACGGTTAAAATTTTCTGGTTGCCTGCTTGCCTTCGAGCCTCGAGCGGTGTGACGGCAGAACAAGTGTTGGCCAGTCAAAGTGGGTGCCATGGAGATACGAAATAAGGACGTGCGGGCCGGAAGCAGGTTGGCGACCGCGCTGCGGTGAGTCACGGGCGAAAGCAGATAGACGGTGAGCAAAGTGTGCTGTAGATTTGGTGCAACTCTTCCCACGGCAAAAAGAAATGGGGGCATCACGATGACGAGACAGAAAAGCTGGGGACGAGTGATGATTGCTGGGATGGCCAGTTCCGCACCATGTCCTATTAGAACCCGAATGAACGGGAAGCCCGCGACCCCAGCAGAGCGGTTAAACGGCAGGGAAGTAGCATCCCGTCTCATAAGCAGCGAGCCAAGCGGGCGGGACGAAGCATCACTGGTTCAGTAGGCGGGTGCGCTAGACACAGGGGGGTTGTCGAAGTGCGGGTCGGGCTACACATTGTAGATGTGCCATGCTAGCAGTTGACTCGAGCTGCTTACACAATTGTATACCCCCCGGTACAATGTTTCGATGCCCGTCTCCCCCGGCTCAGCCCGACAGCAGCCCTATGCTCACCTTCCTCCATGAGCATGAATCCTGTTTTTTCTTTTTCCCAGCGGTCTGTTAGAGCATTGAAACGGCCCAGTGATTTTGTCACAAATGTTCCGCCTTGCCCCACATCACAGCAACCACGGAGCTGCGCCCGCCTCACTCACATTTGCCTCACTGCCCATTGCCAAGCTTCGGAGCGTGTCAGCACCGATGCTCCTCTTATTCGCCAAAGCCTTCTTCTTCAACTCCCGTTCTCTGTATTCCCTTGCCATCTCCGTCCGTTGACCCAAGCTTCGGTACCCCATTGGCCATGAAGGCGTACCGCGACTCGGACTACTCGCCCGGATCGACACGTTGCGCCGCATATGCCGCCATATGGCGCGGGCCTCGTCTAACGAAGAGCTCTCTGCGTCATCTGACGTCGACGTGCATTTTCCTTCTTGGGCCGTGGCTGTGCCTTCTGTGTCCAGAGCGTCTGAAAAGCGCGGTGAAGCCGATGGGTTACAGCTGCGGGTATCGGTGAGCGGTGTGGCGGGGACAGAGCGTTGAGCTTGCCGCGAAGCAGGGACGTTGGTGGCGGTGAAGAAGCACAAACTGTCACGTGCGTCGAAAGAGAAATGCGGCTGAGACGCGAACTGGCGGAGATGAGGGCCATCCACGTCTTTTGCGTGATATGAGGTATCTATTTCTGGAACTTGTAAGACTGCGGGAAGGGTTGGCGAGAATGCAGAAGCCGGTAGAGGAAAGCCGTCTACTTCAGAATTAATGAAAAGTGGCGTAGCTCCTAGCTGATAGACAAGCTCTCGGCGGACATATTCGATGTAACCTGAGCATGGAAGCGAATAGCGTCTGTGGCGGTAGAAGGCGTCTAGAGCGTCCAAAGCAATGTAAGGAGGGTCCTGCGTGGCCATCAGGAATATCAATCTCCTGTAGATTTTGGCCTCAGCCTTTGAAGCGGCTGCAGGGTCAGTTGGCGGCTCGATGCTCCATTCAGAGAGCGGATTGGGCCTGCGGACGGTGCAAACTTGTTCAACTGTGATCGAATTGTTGTCAGGGAAGCATGACTGTTTGTAGTGAGCCGATATGGTCAAGACATCTGTGACGGTCTCTCCTAGCAAGGTTTCCAGTCCTTCGAGAGCATCTTCGAGCTCAGTCAAAGGGTTGTGAGCGGCATGCTCCCTTGTGATGACGGCTGGGATTCTTACTCTCACAAGAGCAGATAATGTTTGACCTGCCTTGAGTTTCGCGCTTGAGGTACTTCCGAGAATGCTTTCAACCACGCAGCCTTGACGTGGCTTGATGTCGACGCAAAGGTCGGTGATAGACCCGAAGACGCGTCCTTCTCTTGCGTAGGACATTACGTCAGCCGCTTGCGAAATGAGGTGAGCTGAATCGTTAACTGAAACCTTCTGCGAAAATGAATTCGAAGAAAGGCTTCTAGGCAGCATCCACAGGTCAGAATTCTCTGACAGCCCGTTGTGATATGGGATAGCAGCTGTGCACACGACATAGACGTTGAGGGCCGAAAATTGGTCCATCCGCTCAAGTCCACCCACAGACCGAGGCGACAAGATAAAGACAAGACAACGAGTAAGCCTGAGAGGCTTGGCGGATTCGTTTTTCGACTCCGAGAGAGCTTTGATAGCTTCTTGCAGAGTCTCGCTCATCTCCGTGCCGGCAGCGGGTGGACGAGCCACCAAAGCCCTGATATCGTTGAGTTCCCTATGGAGAGAAGGGACATTGACAGCTTGAAGTGGATGCAAAAGGCATCCCGAGGTTTTCGCCTCGTCCGGGAAGTGGCGACAACAGGTGCAGAAGACCGCGAATCGATCGTCCGCTCCGGTACTGATTTGGGCAATGCGGAGCGCGACGTCGCAAGCAGTCTCCTGGGAGTCTGGGGACGCGAATCGGCTGGATCTCGGTAAGCTGAAGTTGCCAGCGCAGGGGGGCGGTGAGCATCTATCGCCGCCTTGGAAAGACTCGGATGAGGGCGAGCGAATGACAGTGGCGAGATTCTCATCCGCCGTTTCATGTAGTCGGATGGTGTTCGCCATCTCTAGGTACCCAGCACATCGTGATATATCGCGCGATACGTGACGTCAGGATGAAACTGAGACTGAAACTCACGAATTGTCCAGGATCACAACGACGTCCAAGCCTGCCCCTTTGTTATCTTCTCCGAGATCTCTGACATCTGGCCGAACAACGCCACGTGTTTCGACAGCCACCCAAACGCTCCGCTCCTCGTGGAGGCTGAGGGACTCGCATTCCGTCACCGTATTGAGATCGACTGAGAGGATCGGCGGTGGCTCACGTGTGGCGCTCCTAGACCGCGGGGAAGTCTGGTCCGCCATCTGAGTCGAACGTGGCTGGAGAGGGTCGCTGCGCGATGATTTGGCAGAAAACTGGCCCGGCCGGAGATTGGTACGACTCGAAGACGCGGTAAGAATACTTGACACGAATCAGTGGACGCCATGCACGTAAAGGCTGGGGTTCTATTCGCTCGCCAAACCTACGATGGCGTAGACGGCTGAGCCTGGAACTCAGAGCTCTTCGAGCGGGACGGAAAACTCGGTCGCCTTCGCATCGACAGCTTGCGGAAGATGCTTCCGTCGGACTGGCCATTGCGCGTCGGCTGCAGGGCCGGGTTCGATCTGCTGGCCTGAATGCTGCCGAGCACCTTGGAAAACACCCTGTTCTTGGACGATTTTCGGTGGAGGAGCGTCGGGGATTCGGGTTCGACAATGGATGGCGGGGACCCCTGCACTGACATATTCAAGGGCGAGCCGCATAGCTGAGCGAGGCCGGACTCGCCTTCGGAACATATGCTGGTCAGAGCGCCTCCGGTGCTTGAGGCTGAAGATCGGTTTTCGCGGCGTTTACGGACTTTGATCTCGCCTGCAGGACGCAGGGCTGTAGGGACCGGGATGAGCGATGCTTTAGCGGCCGGCAGCATGCTGGCGACGTCCGATCTGCGATCTCGGCCTTTTGCTGCAAGTAAAGGGCCATGCGGTGCTTCTCGATGTTCTAGGATGAGGTCTGTCTGTTGGAAAAGCATCTGCGGCGGCCGCCACGTGCGGCAGGTACGCCTGTTGCCTACCGTTGAGGAAGGCAGAGCCTCGCCCGCGCCCTGCACCTCAACGCGCAGCGCCCCCAACGCTCCTCCTCGTACATGTGCGCACTAAAGTGAGAATTCATGTCTTCGTATTTTCGAGATACTTCCAACGAGCAGACCAACCATCCAACAATGAAGGGGTGCAGTGCAGCTGATACCAATGCTGGACAGGAAGGTAGACTTTTGTGTGAAATTCCCTGAGCCCACCGCTCTCGCCCCCCCATCCTCCCCAAAAAGACTAAAGCACCGTTACGGCGCTAGCCAAGTCTAGAGCATGCTACGGTTGCTTCAGAATTCGCGCCTTTGCCTTCTCGAGAATGTCCCTATCGACTTGAGCAAACCGAACCTGCCATCGTCAGAAGCTGAACCTTTGGATGTGGCTGCGATACCTACCACATCGTCGCCTTCTACACCGGCGCTGTAGAGCACGCCGTCGGAGATGCTGCCGGTGATGCCTTTCTTGACTCTTTCTTCCCATACGCCTTCCCAGTTCCATTCGCCCGGGTGGCGACTCCTGGTGGCGGGGGCGGCGCTGGGCTTGGTCATGGGCTGCATTTCAGTGTATTGGTTGTCTCTGTAGGACCGCCAGGCATGGTAAGCTCCCGGATTGGCGGCAGACTCAATCGTCACCGAGTCCAGGATGGCCTCGTCAGAGAATGATTCCTGGATATACTTGAGGATCTTGGCGACTGGAGGGGGGTGAGGGCTGGTGTCGCCGCTGGCATCCGGCTGGCCGCTGCTGGCCCCCGGTGTGCTCCGGCGCGTGCGCGAAAACCACTGCGGGAATCCGTGACGGAGGCTGAAGCCGCCAGGCGGAAAACGCTCTTCGTCGGTGGCACTGACAGTCTCACCGCTCGCCGAGCCAGTGGTGTAGGTGTACGTGGTCAGTGGGGTCACCAGCGGGTGGAAAATGTCCGTGGACAGAGTCACCAGCGGCGGTACCGCTGGATATGCCCGTGGGAAAGAGATCTGGACCCGGAGAACTGCAGGTGCATACGGGCCTTGAAACGAGTCCGGTCAGCCTGTTGGTGGCGGCGGCTGGGGAGAGCTTGAGAGAGCAGCTGCCCTGGCAGTTTGAAAGTGAAAGCCAAATTACGAGTCAAGCGCACCTTTGCGTATGAACATCACGCCAGTCCAGACTGACGTGTCGCCGGGCGTGATGCTCATATACACGCCATCCGGACAGCCGTGGCGGAGGCTCGCGCTGCCGCCGGGGTGCAGTTAGTATAGGGAGATCTGGGGGGCAGATGTCACGGCGCCAGTCGAGGAAAAGCGGAAACGCACAATTCTACAAGTAAATTCTGATGCTGCAGAGCGGGCAGCGCCAGTGCGGGGCCCAACAAGGGCATCTTGGCTGTGATGCCGGGAGCTGAGGATGATGCAAAGGGGTTCGTAACGTCGTCGCGCGAGTGTTCGGGCCGGTGCAGGCAGCGAGGCTCTGTGGCGGTGCTGACTAACACGCTAGAGCGACCTGGAAACCGGCGGCTGTCGATCCGATGAGGCGCCAACTTTACTGCCACGGCTGAGTTTTCCGCCAGGACATCCCCGCCACAGCCTTCGCCGGACGCTGCGCGGCTACGGGAACGCAGCCCAGCCTCATCGGGCCCGGTGCTAGAGCGACTCGCGGCTTGCGGCTTGCGGCTTGCGGCGAGCGCTTCCACGCTTCCTCAGGCTCAAGCTCAGGCGCAGACTTAGGTTCCGGCGCGCTTGCTTTTCGCCAGCCGGCGGCCCCCTTTCTGGCGCAGCCGCCCGCCGCCCGCTGTGGGCTACACGTCGCACAACGCTGCCCCCGCTGTCACATTCTGGAATGATGCGATGACTCGGCCGCGTCGTATAGAGATCAGCAAGGGCCCTGGACCCGTTCCAGCGGCCAGGCTCAACAACGCTCCGAGTCAGTGCGGCGCGAGCGCATGCAGCTCAGCAGCGAGGCAGATACAATATGTGCCTGCTCTGCCGGGCTGCGTTGACTGCAGCGCGATCCGCAGGATATATGAGACCTGCGGTCGCACGGTGGGCTTATACGAGCAGAAGCACCAGTCAGGCCTCGCCACACTTCCGCGAAAGAGTCACGTTGGGCACAACAATTGCTTCGACCGTCAGCGATGCTTTGGCGGTGAGCCCTCGGTCAGGCTGGCATCTGACGGGCGCCGGAAGATCTGAATGTCTCACAGGAGCATTCGTCCCGCAGCCTATTCAGATGTGCGACCAGGGGACGCAACCCGGGTTTGATATTGGTCCACCTCGCCGGGGCGCACAGCAGCAACGACTTCGAAGACGCGGCAGCGACAGGATCCGACTGCATCATGCAGCTCTTGCCCTCCGCCCGAGGACCGGGGATTGTTCGATGCAGCCTGCATGGGAGTTGCGCCCTCTGGCCCTGGATTTGCGGGTTGCACCAACAGCTGGCACCACACGAGACATCGCATTCGGCACAGAAGAACGCTTGCCGTCACACATTGAGGGTCAAGTGATCAGTGCCGACACCGTGCGATGGGCGACGGATCATTCGCGGCGCGCGTCAGGAGTTGCAGTCGGCTATCGTTTCAGCGGGCTGCGATGACGTCGGGATCGAAATGAGGGATCTGCAGAGCTTGCCAGCCAGCTGCCCGCCTACGTACCCCAGACGACGCGGGCTCAGGCGGCGCGGTGCCTGGATGAGTGGCTCCAGGCTTCGTGGGCCACGAGAAGGCGGGCTGAGAGGCGCGCCAGGAGCTGCGACAAACGGTCTGGAGCTAGGTGCCGCGGAATCGGCAGAGGGTGCCAATCGGCGAATCAGCGCGCGGGCGGAGTCCGTACCCGCCATCTTCCGGTCCACAGATCTCTCAAAAGAACCTTCGACGAGACGACCGGACGCGAACAAGCCTTGCTCCAGCAGGCGGTTCCTCGTTTTCCACGCGAGCGCGGCCGGGCAGGGATGCCGCAGCGCGGGCAATCGCCGTCTCCCCCCCGGCCAGCGCAACCCGGCAGCCCTGCGCATGCGCGTGGCCAATCGCACGCCCGCCGCCGCCGTTGAACACGCTCACCGCCGAGCAGCAGCGCGTCCCCTCCGCGCTGGTCACGCCGGGCTTCCCTCTCCTGCTGCTGCTGGCCGCTGCCTCAGCACCCTCTTCCCCAGTTGCCAGGCCCCCCGGCGCGCGCTTGACCGGTGCGTGCGCAGCGCGGGCGCTCGCATGCGCAACATTGCACGCCAACGGCCTCACTGCCACCGCGGTGGGGGGCGCCAGCGCCTCTCCGCGTGGGCATCAGGTGACAGCTGCCCGCTAGCCTGTAGCCTGGCGCCCGTCGCCCGTCGCCGATGCCGCCGCGCGGCGACAGGTCGAGTGCTGGGCGCGCGGGCTCGTGTGGCAGCAGTGCGCGGCTGCCCGGGCTGGCATTTATAATTGTCCGGCGTCTGCAAGGCTGGGCAGCGGCGGGCCATCCACCAGCGCCGGAGGCAGCAGAATTCACCGCCTCTCCTGTAATTTGAAACCATCGCGGCTGGCCGTTGCTTCTATTGAAAGCTAATGAGATTGTCGCAGCCAGCGCTGCCCGCCGCTGCTCCACCCCGGGCCCGCTGACTCGCGCCCTGCGAGCCATCGCCCGCAGCGGCCACGTACTCGCGCCAGCACCGCAGCGAGGAGCGGGCGTAAAAGCAAGCACGGCGCAGGCAGAAGCAACGCGACTCGCATTTGCGGTCAGCCGAGTGCGCTGGAGCTTCGAGAAGTGACGAGAGCGCGCGCAAAGCCTGCGCCAGCGCCCAGCGCGCCCGCTGCCCCTCGTCCTTGTGCCTTGCTGCCGGCGTGCAGCCAGCCTGCCTGGCGGGCTGGGCTAGCGCATCTGCCCGGAGCCGCAGGCCGCAGACGCGAAATGCGGTGCCCCTGTGCTGGGCCCAAGGAAAGGGGGCAACGGCGTTTAGTTCAAAGTCAATCCCAGTAGCGTACCGGCAGGCCGGCCAGCCGCTGATCAAGGATGTCATATCCACGCTGCTAGCCCTGCAACATCGCCCATCACGGACGCGCGACCACCGTCTTTGGGACCCATCTCAGCCCGCCTTACTTTTGGGGCAACCTAGCATCTCTCCCCAATGTTCCGCGACCGGCCCCATGTGCGACAGCGCTCGCTTGGCTGGCAAACACTCAGGGGCCGCGGCCAGCCAAGCCGCACATCCTTTTCGTCTGTGCACCGCGTTTGGGCAGCATACACCGGATCTGACCCTACCACCAGCTCAGGACGATGCAGTCACAGAGCTGGGGTCCGCCCTGTGCCAGCGAATCCGTTCGCTTACCAGAGCTCAAGCCCATCACCGCCTCTTGTGCCCGCGCGTCAAGCTATATCAGAGCCGCCTCCCGCGCGCCCGCTGCTGCCCTCCGCTCTTGTGCTCTCTGCAACACCTGCGGACAACCGCCATACCCAATTCACGATTCGCGCTCCGACTTCCCCGGCGTCCCGCAACAGGATACCCTTGCCTCCTGCAATAAGCCCGTCTGCCCTACGCCACCTAGACTAAATCTTATCGTGTCTAGATGACACAGATTAAAACGGTCATTTAAGCAGACGAGTCCCTCTTTCCCATACCAAGACCTCCAGGTCAATTCCCTTGGGATTCCTCACGCTCCTTCTGCCTTCGACGACCGCCGCCTTGCCACAACCTGCCGTGCCGTGAACACACTCCTGTCTCTCCGTCCCGCTTCAATTGGGAGCCATTGGCACGCCGCATCATGATGTCCAACTGTCGCGCCTCTCGCCGGCGCTCGTCCGTTGCGCCGGACGGCAAAGTCCCCTTCCCGTCACAGCAGCTCTTCGTGCTAGGTAAATGCTCCCCTCCCCACCTCGAGTCTGCGACACCCCGCATGCTAACCGCAACCGTTCGCCAGCATTATGCCGCATCGCCGAGCCCATCGCCTTCATGTCCATCTTCCCGTACATCTACTACATGATCTCGTCGTTCGGAATCACCAAGGACGAGAAGCAGATTGCCATGTACGCCGGCATGGTGACTTCCGCATTCGCCTTCGCCGAGTTCATGACCGGCGTCATGTGGGGACGACTCAGCGACCGCTTCGGCCGGAAGCCCATCCTGCTCACTGGACTCGCCGGCACGGGATTGAGCATGCTCATGTTCGGATTCGCGCAGAACCTTCCCATGGCGCTGCTGGCACGCGCCCTGGGCGGCCTGCTTAACGGGTGAGTTGGGTCGCACGGTCACCGACTTTTTTGCGGCTGGCGCCAAGATAGAATTTTTCTGACGTGTGTAACCCTGCAGCAACATCGGTGTGCTCCAGACGACGGTCGCGGAGGTCGTGACGGTCGAGTCGCAACAACGTAAGTGGCACTAGGCCGCGGGTTGGCCACGAGGCGTACCTTACTGACGTTGAAACGCACAGCGCGCGCCTACTCCATCATGCCATTTGTTTGGTGTCTTGGGTGAGTCCGATGTCCCACCGACGCGACCCTGTTGGGCCCGACGACTAATGATGCGCTTGCAGCTCCATAATAGGCTCTGGCCTCGGAGGCACCCTTGCTCAGCCCGCCAAGGGATACCCTACCGTGTTCCTTCCTGGATCCCTGTTCGACAAATTCCCCTACCTGCTTCCGAACCTGGTCTGCGCTGGCGTCGTGTGCTTCAGCTTGATCGTCGGCATTCTTTTCCTGGAGGAGACGCACGAGGACAAGAAGGACCGCTTTGACCTTGGGCTGGAGATTGGGAAATGGATCATGCGCAAGGTCCGCGGCCAGAGCGAGCCCGAGCTCAGCCTGGATGCGAAGAAGACCTACTTGGAGGAGGCTTGCTACCTGCTGGCGGAGGAGTCGGAGGATGAGCAGCCGCCGGGATACAGGTCGACTGAGGGATCGCCGCGCCTTCCGGGCATTTCCAGCGCAGCAGCGCTCCGCACGCCGCCCAGAGCTGCCCCGAAGCCCTCGATGCGCTCAGCGTTTACCCCGCAGGTGATGCTGAACATCGTCGGCTACGGAATCCTGGCTTTGTAGGTGGCACCCGATAGAGCGGTGCGTTTCACAAGCTAACATGCCTGCAGCCACACCATTTCCTTCGAGCAGCTTCTGCCCGTTCTTCTCAGCATGCCCGAGTCGTCGGTCCCCCCCAGCCTTCCGTTCAAGTTTCTCGGCGGATTCGCGCTCCCCACCAAGACCATTGGATTCATCCTGTCCGCTCAGGGGTTCTTCCAGATGATTGTGCAGATTTTCATCTTTCCCGTCGTCAGCCGAAAGTTCGGCCCTCTCAAGACGTTCCGTGCAGTCATCTTCGCATACCCGTTCCTGTACACTCTGACGCCGTACCTCACTCTCCTGCCGGAGACGATGCGCATGTCGGGCGTTCTCCTCGTGCTGATCTGGAAGGTAACTGCGCAGT